TTGGCGATACCCTAGAGGATGATTTGTAATACTTGGAACAATTATTTCCCTTTTACTATGTTATGTATATAAGTATGTGATGTATGTTCAGGTGTATGTAAGATTTATATGTTGTATTGGTTTTGTCAACATGGTTATTATATTGGATTAATAAATGTATCCAAAGACTAAACCGGATCTGATTTGTGATTGTGAACCTCGGTAACATATTCAAAGTGCATATATTTTTAGGCTGTCACCTTAAGTCATGATGTGTAACCGATTCGTATTTATTGAGGTAGACCCATTCCTCTACCTATTCAATGCTAAATATCAACTTTCTGGTAGAGATTTTGATTGGTGTCGGCCTGTATAGCCCAACTGCTTTTTTAATTTGTTTGCAAACTACAACAAGTATAGCTTACACTACAGGCTACATGTACATGTAAAAACTATTTACCCTTTTAGAATGTTGTTTACCTGTTTTCCTCATGGGATCTTGGTTTAGTCAAGGTTATTAGTTTAAAGGTGACCACTCTGAAACTTGGAAATCCACATCAGTAATTAGGAGCCACTCCAAAAAGGCTTCAGAAGTGTGACTCTTAGCCTAAAGTTGACAAAATTCATAAAGAGCTAAGATGTTTTATGTTTTAATCTATTGTACGCTTTATTTTTTACAAGAAAACCAATAACTTGACGCAAAAATTACAAATAACTATAGCAACGATGTTTTCTGCTGACTACAACGGACCGTCCTTATTACATGTGTGTTCCAAGTAAATATATTTTTTATTATGTTTTTGAGAAGGCTTTATATAAGTTGAAAAACTTGTGCCCAATCCCTTTTGTATATTAGATGCAAATATAACAAATATGTTTAAATCAGAATGTTCCAAGTCAAGACGATATCGGAATCGAAAGTGAAAAACCAAACCTATTTTGAATAAATTAATAGTACTGTCTGTACGTATCATTACGCTGAATGGCTATGCCTAGTACCGTAACACGGCGCGGTTTCTTTTATCACTAGGAGAATCAGATGAAATAAATTTCCGATATAAGAGCCAAAAACACATATATTTAATATGTACGTCAAGCAGAAACAAAAGATATTTGTGGTAGCACGGATAACGTTTTTCAGCGGTCTCATAATGGAAAAAGTAGTCATGCGTGCGAGAAAATTAACTTATTTAACTTAGTTTTAACCAAGTTAATTCTGAACGCAAGTATATCTACCTGTATAAGTCATATTGAATATCAATGTTTTTGATGTGACGTCACTCCAATGTTGTTGTGAATCTCCTTTCATCACTTTTCGAAAATTGAGCAATGCAGTTTCGAAACTTATAAGATTTGGTGCTTGAATCACGTTCTCAGGTAAGGAACTCCAGTTACTTTAAGCCTAGGTCCCAACCCGCCGTACTTGCAAGTGCGCGCTGTCTACTTGCAAAAACGTGGGCAAAATTTGGGGATCCGTACGTGGTGAGTACCGCCTCATTACGGATTTGGGATCACGCAGACACGCCGTAGCACTTTTAGTGCATGAGGAGCTTTCGCTGCGTTCGGGATGCGGTCGGGCTACGGATTCACTCCAGTACGGTTGACGCGTGTGCCTTCTACAGCCAATGAGCGCACAACGCACTGACTTCGTGAGTCTTTTACATTTTTCCCACGGTCATTTGCTCTACGGACGGCGCACTTAGCACGTGCGTGCTGCGCACGTGATAAGTGCGTGGTCTGTGCTTACCCGGCACTTCCCCAGTTCTGCTGTCAAATGAGCACGCAGAACTGACGTAGACCGTACCGAGTAAGCACGAGCTCCGCACTTACAACGCACGTTGTGCGCACTGATTTCTGCAGTATATATAAAAGCCGAGCCCGACATTGGGCGGAAAAAATCACTTTCATCTTACTTCCACGTTCTTACATTCGGTTGTCTTGTAAAAACACTGCTACCATAGTCCGCAAATAGGTTTGCCATTTTACTGTCGCTTTTAGCGATATAAACCACTTTACCATTGTCATTTACGTACAGTTCAGATATTCCTGTTCTAGTTTTTGTTTTGGAATTGGCGTATTTCCAAAATGTCTTCGGGTTGGTTTTCACACCCTTTGCGATATTTTGTTCCACTTGTTTTTTAAGCTTTTCGCGCCAAGCTCTTTACTTTGTGTCTTGCCTTGCCATACTTACCATATTTGTTGAGATCCTTTGTTGTTCATGAATCTCCTCCACCATCTGTGTTTTTTCTTAACTGATTCTACTGTTTCGTCATCTAATGTTTGTTGATGTTTCTTCTTCGCTACTTTTATTTTTGGAATGTGTTGGTCTATTGCATGATTGACAATTTAATAATAAATGTGTTGTAGTTTTCCTTCATGTTCTCGGATTTTAGACATGTATCCCGGTCTATGTTTAGCTCTTCCCTCATCTTTAGATAGTTACCACTGATGTAGTTGAGTTTCGCTATTGCACTGGTTTATGTAAGGTGCCTATGAACGGATGGCGATACATCCATAACCACTTTTGCCAAGAGCACTTTGGACATGTAGATTGGCAACCATATTTCCCCCCACAATAAGTGTATGTGAATATTTAAAGTTACCTACTTTAAACAGAAGGTTATTTAATCTGTCGTTGTTTTCTTCACTACTGCTCTGACTTCTGTATATACAACCAATCATAGGTTTATTTCCTTCAGCCAAGTTGACACTAACAAAGATGTGTTCCTTAAAAACTGTCGAAATGGATACTGCAATCGCTTTCAGATTTGAATTGAGGTAGAGGGTTGTTCTACGAATTCCATTTTCTCCGCTAATGTGATTTCAAAATAAGTCATATCCTTCTATCACCAACTCAGATGTCGTTGGAAGAAATCTACAGATTTGGGCAGTACTTGTGTGTCATCTTTTCCGATACTCATTGTATTTCCAATATTTATCCTAGCTCTAAGCTCTTCTAATTTGTTGGTTAGTGTTTCCTCATTTGTAAATTATCATTCAAAATTGTTCCTATTATATATTATGCGATAATGGTTCAAAAATAACTTGTTTATCAGTTATTTCTTATATACCTGACTGTTGTCTTTCTGTATTGCAAGCTGGACGATTTCCTGTTCCAAGGCGGTCCCCGTACTCGAAATATTAATTTCCCCGTTTCATTGCTCTCTTTTAGTTTTACCTCATTTCTTAATGGATTTTTCTGCTCACGTTCCTTTTTAGTAAGATCGTTATTTATCCTAATTTTAATGTGTTTTTCCTCCTTTTTCAGATTCTTTATATTTTTAAAGAAATCCTTCTTGTCCTCTGAACATACAAATGACACTAGTAACGGTCTGGCTTTCTTATTTGTCCTCATATATCCCTAGTCTGATGACTTATTGAACCCTGTCCTCGTAGTTTAGATTGCATGTTGCAAGCATTCCGTTGACTTCTGTTTCGTCAGTTTTCTTCCTAGCAGAGCCGTCTTCATTAATTGACCCCTTGATTCCAAAAACAAAGATGTTATTTTTCCTTAGTTTTTAATCCCGTTTATTTCAGCGATGACATCAGTATCTATCGGTAGTTTGTTGTCGTTGTTGCCAGTGTTTTGTGCCTGTCTCTATCTGGAGTTCTGAGTGAAGATTTTTCTCCACTGTAACTCTACATGGTAAACAGATCCAAATAGTGTCGGAAGATTCCGCGAGTATGTTGTAGACTTTGACGCTTTTATCGAGATATTGGTTGCAGAAGTGGTCGAGGGACTTTCTGCATCTTAGAGCTTTCCTGTCTTGTTCGGGGTTTCTTGAGCACATTTTGCATGTGACCACGTCTGTCCACCGTCGCTGGCGTCAGCTGCTACTGCTGCTGGTTTATTTATTAAAAATCGAAATTAAGTTTTCTTTCTAAAAACAGTTTTTAATGGAAAAACATGTCATACAATTGTATGTCCCAGAGATGTAATTCTTAAAATTTAAATTAAGTAAAAATATTGTGAAAAAGGTAGTTCCTTTCGTTTTTGGAGAATCATATAGTCCCAATGGAGTCGAAAAATTCGGCTCTAAAAATCTACCGTCGTATGTTGTTTATCTCCTCATCCAGAACTCGTACGAATATATCGAGCAAATCAATCTTTCGATAAGAGAAAGATACCAAATGTCTTTAATTAACTATTCAGCCTTATTTTATATCGATTTGTCTTGGTTTTATGTTTAATAATGACTTGACGTCAAGAGATTGATCAACATTTCAGTCTTAAATTTTTAAAAATCGTGCATTAAATATTGAGGTTCCATGTAATTTCTCCCCAATCCCGTAATAACATTCCATGTCAACTACAGTAGATCTCCCCCATCCCATGATGAACATCTACACGTACATCTATATATGTAGCAACATTTTCTAACAACACACCAAGATTCCTTTGCTACCAGAAAATAAATCTTGATGTTAAGAGTATCATCGTTTGTAGGGAGGGTGACCTACTTAATGCTGTCGTGAAGTTGGAATGTAACCTATATATTGTAATGTTGATAAGAGACAAACAGAGGAACGGAAAACGGAACGAGTTATTAAAAATGATTTCCACTTTGACAAATATAATCTTCCCGCGTGTCTATGATAATACAGCTAGTTCTAAGGATACAGTTCGTTGTAATACTGCTTTTGATGAAACGTTTATATTTGCTGTAAATATTACTCGTCCGTAATTAAGAGATAAGCTATCGTTCCGTCATCCGTTCGCCGCATTAGGGGAAGCCGCTATCAGTACTTATACTATGAGTCATACGTATATATACACAAATATCAACATTTCGTAAAGTTACGCAATGTCGTATTTTGAAATACCTAAAACTCAACGAATCAAATAAAAATGACAGAATCAAGCACAAGGGGGAAATTTAAGCTAAGCTGAAAAAAATCCATTCCTTACTGTCTGGTATATAAATGTACAGGTACACAGTCAATATACATTACATGGTTATCAGCAGTAGATACGGTTTGTAGATATAGATACCTGTATATACCTGCCGACAAACCTGTGACACTATTTGAAACACCTCTCCAGCCATGGAAGATGGAAAAGGGTTAGTTTTGTTGCTGACATTGTGTGTCTCTGTGTTTTCGCTTTGCTGCTGCCAATCAAGCACGAACCCGCCGGTATCGACCCAAACAGACATTTTACCACCTGGTAATGTACTATATTTATATTTTTTATATTGTAGATATTACATAGTATGCATGTTTTAGTGTAAACCATGTTTTATTCATAGCTATTACAAATACACATGCAGATATGTAGGATGACAGAGAAAAGGAGACAGAAATAGAACAGATATATCACAACCTTATGTCCGTATACGAGGACAAATCTAGGTTTATGAGGTCATAGGTCAATCAGATCATCAGTATCGATCTATATTTTGACAAACCTTTGACTTGAACATCTTACAAGAGAATGTAAAACTGTTATGTATATCAAAAGTCAGTATGTAAATCAGCAAAGGTCATAGATCAAATCGGTCACCAATATCCATCAATACTAATCAATACTGCCTAGATTTCCTCTTCATATCCTAATTATAAGAAAAATAGTTATTCTACCAAAGGTCAACAGACATACGCATACTGTTTGCTGATAGGGGCCCCTAAGGGGATCTCTATCCATCACTTACTCTGAAAAATGTCACCTTAAACGATTGGTGCCCAGCTTGGTCACAGGGGCATGGCTCGCTTTACTTGTAATATTAAAAAAATAGGGGTCTCCTATACTAATAATTTAGTATAGGAGACCCCTATTTTTTAATATTACAAGTAAAGCGATCCATGTCCCTGTGAGCTTTGTATACGATCTTAGATTTGGCTTTACTGATAATTTTTTTCCATTCTACCAGACCTTTTCATTTTACTAAACCACAACTTTAAAGCTCAAATCCTTCCTCCAAGACGATTGGCAAAATATCTTTGGCATGCCCATACCTCCAGGACCATCCCCTGTGATGAGAGGAAAAGAACACAAGACATCGAATATGTTTTGTGATAGTTATAAGTTTGGTTGGAGGGGGAGAGGTTAGGTAGACTTCCATTCATTTAGCCCGAACACAGGATTTTATGTACACATTGATTACACCATAAAGTTCTCAATAATCCATCTGGAAATAAACTCAACAGTACCATCGGTTAAAGATTCGTCAGATTACAAATTTAATGTTAAACGTGATGTACTGTTCGCAGATAACACATCCTATGTAAAATATCAAATGCTGCTCATCATTGTGAAACCGAGGTGTGTATTATACTAGTGGTTTGTTGGTGTGCTCTTTTTGAACAAAGATTGTTGACAACGGTTTTGCACATTTTGTTATTCAATGGGGACCAGACTAAAGTGTTTGAAAGTGTCTAAAGATTTGACTTCAGATAATATACACTACAGTTACCTTGTTATGCACGTATTTACTAAACATTTGTTTTTGTTTTTAAAAGTACCTGATTGTATCGTTCAGCTAACAAAGCTCGAAAAAACTAGACCGGAAGCTAACCTAGCCCATGTAGTGGTGCGTATTTCTGCAAACTCGTCAAATTCGCCAGGCAATACAAATGTAAAATTCACCGGTAAGGGAGTTCCCCGGTAAGGGAGTTCCCCGGAAGTTCCCCGGGAAGGGAGATATGTTCAAACTTCCTTATCCCACTTCCGGTAATATACCTGGTGGCCCCGTAAAATATGTCAGTACTTCTAGAGCTCAACAGGATGTGTTTAAAACATCAAATCATAATATACGGACACTATGTTTACATACATGTATCTATCGACGCCATTTTATGACAAGAAGAACCTTATTTATATTAGCTTCAATCACTACACCATATTCTGTTTACATCACTACACTATATTCTGTTTCCATCACTGCCCTATATTCTGTGTCCATCACTACACTATATTCCGTTTACATCACTACATTTTATTCTGTTTCCATCACTGCACTATATTCTGTTTCCATTACTACACCATATTCTGTTTCCATTACTACACCATATTCTGTTTCAATCACTACAATATACATTATGTATTCCGTTTACATCACTACACTATAGTCTGTTTCCATCACTACACTACATTATGTTTCCATTACTATACTATATTCTGTTTACATAACTACAATATATTATGTTTCCATCACTACACCATATTTTTTTCCATCCGTACAATATAGTCTGTTTCCATCAATACACTACATTCTGTTTCCATTACTACACTATATTTATATTCGCTCCCATTGAAGCTGTGTAAACCATGACTGCGTATAAATTAACGTATTCGCAGTGAGATTCCTTGGAGACCATTGTTTCCTATTAATGACGTAATTTACAGTCTGACGTGTACCATCATACTGTAGTAGAAAAATATGTAAATATAAGAATTGATCTTCAGTTTGACTGCGTATACGGTAGTATGAACGCAGTCAAAATGAAGGTCAATCCTTAAATATTCCGTTTACATCACTACACTATATTCCGTTTCCATTACTGCACCATATTCCGTTTACATCACTACAATGTATTCCGTTTACATTACTATACTACATTCTGTTTGGATTACTATACTATATTCTGTTTACATCACTACACTATATTCCGTTTCCATCACTACACTATATTATGTTTCCATCACTGCACTATATTCTGTGTCCATCACTGCACTATATTACGTTTCGATTACTATACTATATTCTGTTTCCATCATTATAATATATATATATTCTGTTTCCATAACTATACTACATTCTGTTTGGTTTACTATACTATATTCTGTTTCCATCACTGCACTATATTCTGTTTCCATCACTGCACTATATTCTGTGTCCATCACTATATTATGTAAAAGATGCTACCGTATACGCAGTCAAAATGAAGGTCAATCCTTAAATATTCCGTTTACATCACTACACTATATTCCGTTTCCATTACTGCACCATATTCCGTTTACATCACTACAATATATTCCGTTTACATTACTATACTATATTCTGTTTCCATCACTGCACTATATTCTGTTAACATCACTACACTTTATTCCGTTTACATCACTACACTATATTCTGTTTCCATCACTGCACTATATTCTGTTTCCATTACTTCACTATATTCCGTTTACATCACTACAAAATATTCCGTTTACATCACTAGAATATATTCTGTTTCCATCACTGCACTATAATCTGTTTCCATCACTGCACTATATTCTGTGTCCATCACTGCACTATATTCTGTTTCCATCACTGCACTATATTCTGTGTCCATCACTATACTATGTAAAAGATGCTAAGTCAAATTACTTTTCGGAAAAAATAGAAGAAAACAAACATGATTCAAAGAAATTATGGCATCATCTGAAAGATTTGGGCAATAAAAAAAAGCAAAAGGAGATTCAAATATTGTTTTGAATATAGATGGAGAAAACTGTCATGACCACAAAGGTGTAGCAGATCATTTAATAACTATTTTACAAATGTAGCTTCCAAATTGGTACAAGAGTTACCTCCAGCTATGAAGTTGTACTCCATAGGTTCAGCTCTAGTATCTTTTAACGAATTTTTACAAATTAAGAAATCCAAGAGAGAAGAAGTTTGTTCTCCGTCAGGTATCAGAGGAGTATATCTTTAAGGAACATTGTAAACTAAATCAGAGTAAAAGTACAGGACTGGACGAAATCCCAGCCAAGTTTTTGAAAGATGGCGCTGAAGTCTTGAAAATTCCTATCACGTTTTTAATTAACATGTCAATTATAGAAGGGAGAGTTCCAGATGATATGAAATCTGCCCGAGTCAAACCTCTTTATAAAAAAGGTAGTAGTCTGGATACTGGTAATTACAGACCAGTAAGTATCTTGAGCATTGTCTTTTAACTATTGGAACGAACGGTGTATTCACAGATGGAAGCATTTCTGATAAAAAAAAACAACAACATGCTTTATGAATATCAATCAGGGTTTAGGAAGGCATACTCCACTGATACCTGTCTTATACATTTGCTAGACCACATTAAATGTAATACTAGTAAAGGTCTATACACTGGCATGTTGCTACTAGACCTGCTCAAAGCTTTTGACACGGTTGACCATGACATTCTGTTTGGCAAGTTGAAAATGATGGGTGTGACATCTGTAAATTGGTTTAGATCATATCTGAGTAACAGACATCAGACAGTCAAAATTAACGATATCTACTCGGACCCAGATACCACAACGTAGTATTTTAGGCCCTCTTTTATTCTTATGCTATGTCAACGATATGGCAATCAGCATTGATGGAGAATGCAAATTACTATTATATGCCGATGACAGTGTTATCCTTTTCGCACATAAAAGCCCAGAAATAATTTCCACGAAACTTGGTGCTGTACTTGAATCATGTGCAGAGTGGTTAGTTGATAATAAGCTTTCGTTGCATTTAGGTAAAACAAAGAGCATGCTATTTGGAACAAACAAATAATAAATCAAATTGATCATTTTGAAATTGTCGCAAACAATCATACCATCAAATCAACAAAATCTGTGAAATATCTTGGAGCTAATATAGGTTGTTGTATGTCTGGCGAAGAAATAGTAGAAAACATCGTGAGGAAAGTAAATTCTAGACTGAAATTTTTATACAGACAAAGTAAATGACTAACTACAAAAACCAGACAAAGTTTATGTTCTGCACTAATACAGTGTCACCTAGATTATGCATGCTCCGCGTGGTACTCAGGATTGAACAAGAAAATGAAGAACAAATTACAGGTTTTACAAAATAAAGTTGTCAGATTTATTAGCCAATTAGAACCCAGAACGAGTATCACTCCCACTGAACTGTCAAAGCTCAATATGTTAAATATAGAATATAGAGTCAAACAATTAAGACTCAATCATGTGCACAAGATTTTTTATGGAAAATGTCCATCCTACTTAAACCTAAACTTCATAAAAGTGTCAGGTGTTCATCAGCATAACACACGATCATGTCTTTTTAATTTTGTTGTTCCACCATGTAAAGGGAAAGATACCTGTACTTTTTATTTTAACGGGATCCATGACTGGAATAGTCTGCCTGACAAAATCAAGGGTATAAAATCCATATATGCATTTAAGGCAGCAGTGAAGAAACAACTTGCTTTTAAATTTCAAAATTCATGCTGATAACACAATTATATGTGATTACGGTGGCACAAAACAAGTAGACTTTGCTGGTAGGGGGATCCCCAACCCTAAGAAAACAAACTTTGTGTCACTGCAATCCCCGTGCTGACGACATCTTTACCGTTTTTTTTTTTTTTAATATAAATAGTTGGAAAGTCACGTTACATATTTTAAGTTGGGCTAACTATTTAAACCTGAACATATATATATGTGTGTGTTTTTTAGATTAAATAGTCATTACGGAATTACTATAGGTACGGACAATAAAGTTAATATGTTGTCATTCATTCCCTCCTGCCAAAATCTTTCCCCGTGATCAATATAACATGGACCCCATTGGAAATAAGCTTTCGAGCTTTCATGGGCTATCCTCAGGACTATAGATCAATGCTTGTGTTGTATTAATTGTATAAATATAATTACCCATATCTTAAAATCAGTCATGAATTTTAGTTTCATATATAATATAACATTTTAAGATATTACAATATTTTATTACTGACGACAATTTAATGCATGTAGGTTCATTAATATTTGAGCGTTCGGAGAGCTTGTAGGAAGGGGATGCCCCAATCACCTGCTCCTTGGACTGCCCCAAAAACCTGTGATATTCTATTTAATATTTTTAGTAATATATATGTATGTTGAACTGTAATATGTATGTCATCTATCATGTTACATGTGATGTCTATGATCTATTTCCTGAAATAAACATTATTATTATTATTATATTCTGTTTCCATTACTGCACTATATTCTGTTTCCATCACTACACTATATTCTGTGTCCATCACTATACTATATTCTGTTTCAATCACTACACCATATTCTGTTTACATCACTACAATATATTCTGTTTCCATCACTGCCCTATATTCTGTTTCCATTACTACACCATATTCTGTTTCCATCACTACACTATATTCCGTTTCCATCACTATACTATATTCTGTTTCCATCACTATGCTATATTCTGTTTCAATCACTACAATATATTCTGTTTCTATCACTATACTATATTCTGTTTCAATCACTACAATATATTCTGTTTCCATCACTATACTATATTCTGTTTCAATCACTACACCATATTCTGTTTACATCACTACACTATATTCTGTTTCCATCACTGCCCTATATTCTGTTTCCATTGCTACACCATATTCTGTTTCAATCACTACAATATATTCTGTTTCTATCACTACACTTTTTTCTGTTTCAATCACTATATTACGTTTCCATCACTACACTATATTACGTTTCGATTACTATACTATATTTCGTTTCCATCACTACACTATATTCCATTTGGATTGCTATACTATATTCTGTTTCCATCACTATACTATATTCTGTTTCCATCACTATACTATATTCTGTTTCAATCACTACACCATATTCTGTTTACATCACTACACTATATTCTGTTTCCATCACTGCCCTATATTCTATTTCCATTGCTACACCATATTCTGTTTCAATCACTACAATATATGCTGTTTCCATCACTATACTATATTCTGTTTCAATCACTACAATATATTCTGTTTCTATCACTATACTATATTCCGTTTCCATCACTATACTACATTCTGTTTGGATTACTATACTATATTTTGTTTCCATCACTACACTATATTCCGTTTCCATCACTACACTATATTCCGTTTGGATTGCTATACTATATTCTGTTTCTATCACTATACTATATTCCGTTTCCATCACTATACTAAATTCCGTTTCCATCACTACACTATTTTCCCTTTTTTGTCACTACACTATATTCCGTTTCGATTACTATACTATATTCCGTTTCCATCACTACACTATATTCCGTTTCGACTACTATACTTTGTTCCGTTTCCATCACTGCACTATATTACGTTTCGATTACTATACTTTATTCTGTTTCCATCACTACACTATATTCCGTTTCCATCACTATACTATATTTCGTTTCGATTACTATACTATATTCCGTTTCCATCACTACACTATATTCCGTTTCGACTACTATACTATATTCCGTTTCTATCACTATATTATATTCCGTTTCCATCACTACACTATATTCCGTTTCCATCACTATACTACATTCTGTTTGGATTACTATACTATATTCCGTTTCCTTCACTACACTATATCACGTTTCGATTACTTTACTATATTCCGTCTCCATCACTACACTATATTCCGTTTCCATCACTACACTATATTACGTTTCGATTACTTTCCTATATTCCGTTTCCGTCACTACACTATATTACGTTTCGATTACTTTACTATATTCCGTTTCCATCACTACACTATATTCCGTTTCGATTACTTTACTATATTCTGTTTACATCACTACACTATGTAACGTTTCGATTACTTTACTATATTCTGTTTACATCACTACACTATGTAACGTTTCGATTCCTTTACTATATTCTGTTTACATCACCACACTATATTACGTTTCGATTATTTTACTATATTCCGTTTCCGTAACTACACTATATTACGTTTCGATTATTTTACTATATTCCGTTTCCGTAACTACACTATATTACGTTTCGATTATTTTACTATATTCCGTTTCCGTAACTACACTATATTACGTTTCGATTACTTTACTATATTCCGTTTCCATCCCTTCACTATATTCCGTTTCGATTACTTTACTATATTCTGTTTACATCACTACACTATATTACGTTTCGATTACTTTACTATATTCCGTTTCCGTCACTACACTATATTACGTTTCGATTACTTTACTATATTCCGTTTCCATCACTACACTATATTCCGTTTCGATTACTTTACTATATTCCGTTTACATTACTACACTATATTCCGTTTACATCACTACACTATATTCTGTTTCCATCACTACACTATATTCTGTTTCCATCACTACACTATATTCTGTTTCCATCCCTACAATACAGTCTGTTTACATCACTACACTATATTCCGTTTCCATCACTACACTTTATTCTGTTTCTATCAGTACACTATATTATGTTTCCATTACTACACTTTAACTTTCCTCATTTCGTGCTGTAGGTGAAAATTGCTCCAATTGCCATGGGAACTGTCTTAACAACACTGATATCTGCAATGGCACGTGCATAAGCGGTTTTTATGGTGACGGATGCGAATTTAATTGCACATCAAATTGTCGCTACGGTTGCAACAGGACGACGGGTTCCTGTAATTATTGTGCGAAAAATTATCACGGAAACTTTTGCAACGACAGTTGTCCGGATAACTGTTATGTGGGGTGCCGACAATCTGGACTGTGTTTTAGTTGTTCGTCCTTTTGGTTTGGAGAGAAGTGTGGCAAAGTATGTCCGGAAAATTGCCACTATGGATGTGACGCAGTAACGGGAGAATGTAAATATGGCTGTAAACCCGGCTACTGGGGAAAAGAGAGCTGTAACCACACATGTCCTGAAAACTGTTACGATTCCCTTGGCGGCGCGAGCTGTTTTCAGCCCACAGGCAGGTGCACTTCGTGCAATCCTGGATATACAGGCTACAATTGTACCGACCGCTGTAAAGACACTAACTGCAGTAAATGCATAAATGATGAAGGAATACAGCGTTGTTATGAGTGTAAGTCAGGATCTACAGGGACTCATTGCAGTGGGTCGTGTCCAGCTCATTGTCAGGGAGACACGTGCGACCAACTCACTGGGACATGCACATGCGCAAACGGATGGTACGGAGACGATTGCTCCATGCAATGTTATGGCAACTGTTCCCTCTGCGTTGATAACAGCACATGTATCACATGTATGGATGGTTATTATGGCGGCAGATGCGAAATGCGGTGTCCTAGTGATTGTGAAAAATGTTCGCGTGATGGAAAGAATTGTATCGGAATGTGTATCGGCTGGTCTGACAATTATGGATCCCTTTGCAAATGTCGCCGGTCCGAGTGCTTGAAAAGAGACCCTGGTACACACAATTGTTTGAAATGTAAGAACGACTCCTGGTTTACACAGGATGCCGGATGCTGTCCTTGTAGTGACCACTGTAACGGAAGTTGTGATAGCAACAACGGCACGTGCATAAACGGTTGTCTGGACGACTACCATGGACCGACATGTGATACGCTATGTAGCTCACACTGCAATGGTTCATGTGATCCCATGAGTGGAGAATGTGAACACGGTTGTCTGAACGATTGGGTCGGCCCAACCTGTGACATACAATGCAGTGTGAACTTTCCACACTGTGATAACTGCGTGTGGTTTACAGCACCAGGCCACGAAGTCATAGCGTACTGCAACGGGTGTACTGCAGGATACCACTCTGGCGTGGATGTCGGCTGTGTACCATGTGACCATTGCTTGAACCGGAACTGTACCGCTTCAGGTCAATGTTTAGAGGCTTGTGTTGAGGGTTACCATTATTCTATCTCACACTATTGTGATGAGAAGTGTAATGAAAATTGTATAGACCGGAAGTGTGACAATACAGCCGGAAACTGCACAAAAGGATGCGTACCAGGATATTATACCGAACGGTGTTCACTGGACTGTTCCTCGTATTGTAGTGAGGATGGCTGTGACCGGGGTACCGGTGTATGTCACGGGTGCAGGGACGGAATGTACGGTCAATACTGTTTCTTCACCTGTTCTGAGCACTGTGTAGACCATTCCTGCGCCAGAGAATCGGGATCTTGTTCAGGTAAATGCTACTACCACCGGAACTTATACCGTTCAACATTAAAATTTCTGGGGAAAAAAATACTATGATTTCCCTAATAAATGAAATATTGCATAAAGTCAAACCAGCGTTGAAAGCTTGTCAACATGTTTAAATACTATATCAGCATTATCAAAAAAATATCTTTAGATGTCAAATATGTACCTGTCTCTACGAATAATATATGTATACCAAAAATCTGTCTAAAACAGCTTCAAATGTACTTTCAAAACTTATTCGAACATAAAATTCCTATTCAAGAATTTATAAACATTAATATCTAATCACGATTTTCAAAACAAAGTTCCACATAATTCATTGGATTTGCTTATTTTATGTTCATTTTTGCAAAAGCTAGAACACATTATCTATAATGAATACTGCCTGTTTTATATTCGATAGAATGTAAACTTGGTTACTATGGAAACAACTGTGTGGCCAGGTGTGATGGGTGTTTGGATGTTACTTGTACTCAGACGAAAGGCTGTGAGAAAGGATGCATGCCAGGACAACATGGGAGATACTGCGATAAAAAATGCCCTGAAAATTGTTATGTGTGCGACCAAAATTCCGGGGCATGCCTTATGTGTAACACCGGTTTCAGCGGTATCGGATACAGAGGCGCCAATTGTAGTATTCCATGTCCAGATTGTGTCAATAAATACGAAAATAACACAGGTTCGCCATTTCACGGATCATGTTTCCATGGAAAATATGGATTACTTTGTATGGAAGATTGTGGCAATTGTTTCACATCCAACGGTGTCAGGGAATGTGAAAAGTTTACCGGATATTGTTCGAACGGATGTTCTTCAGGTTATTATGGAATGACATGCAAAGACGAATGTCTAAATTGTCAACCAGATATCAACAATATGACGGTATGTGATGTCACTTCCGGTGCATGTCAAGATGGCTGCCTTGCCGGTAGCTTTGGTATTATGTGTAATGAGACGTGTGGGAATAACTGTCTGAACAATCTATGTAAGAGGTCCAACGGCACGTGCAGCAACGGGTGCTCTTCTGGTTGGCAAGGAGACCAGTGCAATATAGGTGAGATTTTTGTTATAAATTCAATATTCTTTTAATCACTTCCGGTCTATAAAGATGTCACATCCGGGCGCAGGTAAGCTATCAATACTAAGCGAAAAACGGATAACAATTGCCTTCGTTTCATTTTTCGCTCTTGTTATCGAGAGACGAAAGAACACGAATGGAAAATTTTGAATAGAAATAACAACGAAAACAAATGAATGAATGCATAAATAAATAAATGACGTACAGTTTTTAATTATTTTCTGTGGTATTTCTTGAACAGCGAAACGGACTCAAAACAAGGATTCTTCACTTAGTGGGGGAGCGATAGCCGGAATTATCCTTGGCGTGGTGTTTGGAGTCGCCCTGGTAGCTGGTATTGCATACTTTCTAATCCGAAGGTAAGTGACGTAAAATGTGTGTAGGATTGGGATATTTTCTGTTTTTAGTCCTCATTTGAAAGTACACTATATATAAAACGTACTGGCCTCATCAGTAGTTTATTCATGATCATTTTCATCCATTCTAAGCTGGCCCATGTCGATTCGTGAAAAGAAGTACTTTAAACGTATTTAATTGCCGATTGAATTGAACAAGGGATTAGGCATAAGTTACTACAACTTACCATTGCCTTGTCCGGTCATACAGTTACGATTACATGACACCAATGATAATAATGTCCTCAGCTGCAAACTGGACGTGCGACAAAATTCACTCTGTAAAGGTCATATTTAAGGGGACCACACATGTGCCTCCGTTTGGTATGTAAATTGTATAATTTAAAAACTGAAGTAGATAGGAGGGGATGGTTGTACATTTAAAGCAAGAGTGTCTTTAAATAGATGTATGGAAGGTAACAATCGTACTGATAAATCTAATGATTTCCAGTTACGACGAGTAGACGGTATAAAGGAGAGATTTGTAAGAGTAGGCCTGTTCTATCCCCCTGCATGTCATAGAATGCGACTTATGTGCCCCCTATCACGTGCAGAATCGGGGCTTTTCTTTCGTGTCTTCTACTAAGGGGACACCAAAGAAATTTAAGAAAAAAATCTGCTGCCCCTGTTGCAACACTTGAGATCTACAGTATTTCATTTTATTTCTCACTTTCTACTTTTTTCCGGTAGTGTCTCCGTTGACATCCGACCTTGGCTGTTTGAAGGACGTTAAACCACGAGCAAAAATAGGTTCTAAATGATAACTATGAAAGCAAAATTAAAGCTTGGTTCACGTTTGAACAATTAGTACATTTAAGCTTACGATTGTTTACTTATCTATTAACTGAGGCAATAGGCAAGCAGTACCCGTCTTCCTGTTGACATTGCTGAGTACGTTTGACCCCAATGAGCAACAGTTACTATTTTACCGGGATTTAATATAAATAAACATTTTTTTTTACAAAATATAAAGGATACAAATCATTATAAGTGAAATACAGAAGTTCTATGTCTTAAACCCGACATGGTGTCACGTGGTTTAATAAAATACTAAGGACATCCTTTATTTTGCAGACGGAATAGAGACTTCAGCACAAGAACCAGAATTCCTCACCGCGAATTTGCCTTAAACGATAGATAATGTCCCTTGGTAAATGAATTGGTGTAAAAATGTACATATTTATGTCATATAAGCTTAGGTGGAGGGTCATGTTTCTTTCTTGTTATCGTTTTCCTTAGAATATCAACCTAGCGTATAGAAGTAGATAGTTTTGGGTGGAGAACTTCGGACAAATGTGTTTGCTTAGTCAAACCTTTGCTTATGTAGATCTGTAGGCAACGATCAACAACAATCATCTCGTTTGGACATATTCTATCGCTGTATCTTTCGCTGTAAAATACATCGTTGTAAGCTTTTTAGCTTTTGGAGATGCCTTAAATCTATTTCCTTTACTTATATATATTACATTGTGTTCTGACAACAGATCTAACGAGACACAAAACATGACGATAGCCTAACGTTGAAATTGGGCATTACACCTCAGTTATGTTCTCCTCAAAAATCCCTAACTTGATGAGTACATGTAATATGACAGCGGTAAACACCGGACTCTGAAACAGGCCCACATTAGTCGCTTCCTGGGTTCGTACATCACGCCCATTAATTTTAACTCTTGTATAATGGTCTCCGAATTTGAAAGAGTGTCAAAGTAGTTCGCTGTTCTCTTGATCCAAGTTGTTATGAAAGCAAAATGCCCAATATCAGGAAGGTCTACTGTGTGTACTAGTATGTTAATATTCTTGTACAATATACATGTGTGTACAGCTAATGTAATCGCTAATAGCTATAAATAGTAACATGTTTTGTCTTACAGAAAAAGAGCAGACGGCGGTGGGAATTTCACATCGTTTAATAATGAGAATAGTTAAGGTAGAAAAAGAATTTGTGATTCCTCAATCAAAATGCACCACCCAAGAGACACTACACTGACCAAAACGCCCTACGCACTCAGTGTTATTGTGTACCACCCAGTTGTGAGCACAAGACTACACAATTACAGAGTTACCCCCCTTTTTACGCGTCCTCAGTATTATATATTCACATGCTTGCGTGTACCCTCACTCGACAAAACAAACTCACCTACTTACCTTTGCAATACAGGGATGCTTGTTGGAATTTTTTGGACGTGCAAAGTCTATTGTTGCAAATGCGTTGTTTCAGGGTTTCACATTCCGTACATTAAACACAAACACTGCTGTTTTCGGTATCGACGCAGGTATAATAATACAAGTTCACGAGTTAAACTTTGTCATGAATGTAAGTTTGAGAGGACGTACGGACCTAGCTGATTATCGTGTGGGCACACACATATATAAAGGTCAAACTTAAAGCTAAATGTAGAAGTTTTTGAAATGCTGCATGTCTGATGGGACGAATTCATTAAGACTTGTATATGACATGTTCAAACAATGTTACCTTGGGTTACCGCTGGACGGCTGGGGGAAACTTTTGTGATGTCAAACTTCAAAACAATTATAATAAGATCATAATGATACAATTTAGGGTTAGAATGGGGTTGTTATTGTTAATTAAATTACAATGAAGGGAAATCTTAAAACGTAACAAACAATAATTACAATTAAATAAATGGTTATTTTAACAATAAATTGAGTTTGTCTTGAATACATTCCTTTTATTTTACTTGTGTTATGTTAGTACTCGATTCCATTGGAGGGGGTATATAACATTGCTGTATTTTTGTAACAAGGTTATTTAGACAGTGAACATGCAAATTGATAAAATTTCAGTTAGAGTAGTTACTAAATTAAAAAAAAAATGTAAATACAGTACGGTGAAACAACTCGCTGCCTCACTTTTAAAAATCAGTACATGTGAATTAATGAAAAAATAATGATTTCATTATTCTTACAGGAGAGTGCAATATTGATTGGGAAGATAAAGGATGAACGATCGATGTTTAGCAGGAAACCGCAGTGGAGGTTAATTCGAAGATGACGGACACACCGCAGAATGACTTCAAAAAAGGTCTAAACCGAACCCTTACGGGACCGTTATACTAGCTGGTCGGAATAGACAGGGTGTCTTAACAGACGTAGTTGTTGTTCCATGAAAGAATATGAAATGTGTCTGATGTAAGGGACGAATATCTAATTTATATCATTGTGATCAAGAACAAGTTTTGTTTTCTTTTAAGAAAAAGAAGCATGTCATATAATAAATTATGTATGTTACTGTACCACACGTACCATGTTCCTTACACCCACTTGGGATTGAGTGTAAGGGAGGACAACTCTGTGTAGAGATTGATCATGTCCAAGATAGCTGTCTGGTTTTGCTGCATATACCATAACTTAATTGACTGCAAATTAATATGCATAAATCCACAAAATTTTTTTTTTGGTATTTTAATTTTGATTTAAACTATTTATTGCAAAATATATATAAGAACATATATATATGATGTCCTTGTCCAAGAATATCTTATACTGTAGTTATATTTCAAATACATTATGCACTTACATGCAGTACGTTATTACCAAATCGACTTGGAGAGTGGGAGTGAGATCACATAGATGTAAGAGAGAGTGTGACATAGGGAGGAGTGTGGGACCAATATGTACATACATGTATGTATGCTATCATGTAAGTGATTTTTCCTAAACGGACAGCACCATAGCTGTTCACTGTTCCAAACACAGTCAGTATACAGTATATTACAATTGCATTTTAGGAAAGGCACATACCCTTTTTACATAACTTTTTATATTACTATTTTCTGTTTTTAACAAAAAGCTAAAGTGTGCACAAAACGTGCTTTCGCCCCCGGCCCATGAAAATGATAAATCCCGAGAGTACAATTATAAGTGTTTCTGTAATGCAATACATGTTTAATAAACATTGTTTTTAATTGGTAAAATTAAATAATGTACTTTGTACCTTGTTCCTTAATTTCCATATTTGTATTTTAATACACTTTTCATATACGTATCGATAAGCGCGCGAGTCACAAATTTTAAAATCTGTGTTATTTATCTTGCTAGCTGTGAAATAGGACATTTTGTTTGATTTTATTTTCTAAAGATATTTTTTGTAAAAGGTCGACCCATTAAAACTGCTCAACTTCGTACTTTCAATTAACTACTTACCTCTTTTTTTTTTGGTTTTCCTCTGCTGTGGAAATATCGACTCTTATTTATGTCCATGTTTGTGATATTTCAAAACATCGTATCATCATAAAGCTTTATCATTGTTGATCATCACATTGAGTGAAATTGTCTTTACATTGTTTTAGATTTCTTTTTACCATTCTCGACTTTAACATAATGCCATGCTCGTAACATACTGCACGAATTATAAGCGCGGAGAGCAAGTGAGCTGATATTTTGTCATCACATGTGTATTATTATACTCTGATACCTCATGTTGTACATTTTAATGTATCGGAGGAAAAGCAATAAACTCGTAAAAACTTGTAAACTTTATACATATGTGTATCATGGCGCTTTGGCGGGAAGCAAGCCTGGATGATTTGTTCGAATTAATGACCTTAACGAACTTTCAAGGTCACATGTATAAAAAACAACAACATTAAAACGATTTCTCCAGAAGAAGCAATAAGCTTAAGGTGATGATATTTGGCCTGTAGCGTGCTGGGATGAAGGGCCTACAGTTGAGGCCTTGTTTCATGATACATGGTCAGAAGAATGTTGGAAAGGAATGACTTTGACCAATGGTCAACATCACAAGACTGTTCATAGTTTTAAACAACTTATTCCGTTGACGAAAACGTCAAAAGATAATGTGTCAGGAACATGTTGGGATCAAGGGCTACCCAGTTTGCTCAAAATAATGGCCTGCTTTCAAAAGCACACGATTTAAAATCACACGGCCTAGCAAGATGACATTTGGCCAGTAGCATGTATGGATGAAGGGACATCAGTTTGTTTAAATGAATGACCGTGTTCCATTTTCAAGGTCACATGATTCAAATGTGGTATATATTCAAACAAATTCTTCTGTAAAACCAAGAAGCCTTTATATATATAGCTAGGGTTGTTTTTGGCTAGTACGATGTTTGGTTGAATAAACGTTTTTCTAATAAAGGTCTGAAGTCGTGATACGTGAACTTAGCCTTCTACATAAAGATGTACAATGTACGCCCGTCTAGTAACGGGTTAATTGACCTACTATCGAATTAAATAGATAAAGGATTAATGGAACTACCCTGAAAATAATTGATGTAAATGTTGTGTCTATGACCTTTATTAATTTATGATCAGGAAATAATTACGAATTTATTGATACCAGATGAAGAAAAATGTATTTACATGTATATCAAGGTCTTAAGGTTCAAACGTGTTGTTACCATTTGATTGGGTTTTATGAATAACCAAAAAGCGTTGGGTCATTGTATTTGGTCTGAAGTATACTTCGATAAAAAATTCTGTGATAATTCAAATGAATTCCCTTGACCTACTTTCATGGAAAGACAAATATACCATTGATGAGCAACATGAAATCCTTGACGATTTTGTCTCACAGTATGATCCTGCAAATCTACAATAAAATACATTTTCTCCGACAATTTTACTAAATATTCGGTTTTTGTTGGTGATTGTAATATGCATAGAATTAATAAGTATGTACTGATGTAGCTTTACTTCATATTAGTTCAGTGTACCCGACTAAAGCTTACACTGATGGGTTTGATTAACAGCAGCTTATCACTGCACCAATTAAGTTAATTAGTATTGATTAGTTTTACTAAATAATAGCTTCATATACATGACAGTAAATGAAATATACATGCAATTTATTATTAATGATGTACTTTTACTTAATAGTAACTGAAGAGCGAGTGCTCAAGGTTTGTCAAGAAATGTCGGTGTACCTTATAGCATTGGTATGGACATAAAACACTCATGAGAGACTACAAGCTTGTTTTTATCTGTGCTCAGTCCAGGAAACAGCAGCTCCAATACTTGCACTGTATCATTCGTATAGGCTGTCAATGGCATAACACAGTTCAATGCTTAAATATGAACAGTACCATGACAGTTCTGTTGATAGCAGAAATCTCAAGCGGAGCACTGATAACAACACAGGACAGCCCATGGCAGCAAGTCAAGTATAAGACGTGACACGATGTGTTAGAAATAGATATATTTATTAAATCCCAATGATATGTTTCTCACAGCCTGCAGGACACATCACCATACACACAATCAACATATAGATCATGGATTTTATTTCATCTGACGTCATGTATATATATATATAGAAGAGAATCACTTCAGAATGACAGGTATGCCATAAACAATACAAATGACGTCATATACAACAAATCTGATGTCACAGATAGATAAACTTTGTACATTCACAATAGATTTGACGGCAAACAAGCTATTTGTATCCAAGTGCACATGTACCAACAACAACACGTGTACAGGTGTTACGTGTGTGTGTTTGCTAGGAATCGTGACGTCACATTTTTTTACCCGCATGGCATCAAATACAACCATAATGATACATTAAAGACAATGAGCACGATGTCATTTCAAACAAAACAGGTGTGAAAAACAACAACTATGACTTCCAAACAATAACCAATGATGTCACCACAAAGTAGTGAACAAAAGGAATGGTGTCATTGACACATCAAATAAAGCAAAAGGCAATTACTATGATGTCACTACAATTTACCGATAGGTTTTCTGTGATGTCGTATTTAATTGATTGGTCAACCTATATCATCAGACACTTAAATATTGTGGTTTACAACTTGTCAAACAATCAGCATGATTTCATAGAGATATTATAACACAATATGTAGTGATGTCATACACATATTGTAGTGATGTCATACACATATTGTAGTGATGTCATACACAATTTGTAGTGTTGTCATACACGAAATGTAGTGATGTCATATACGAAATGTAGTGATATTATACACAATATGTATGATGTCATATGCACTGACAATAGTAAATCTTATATGTCATACTGTAAAAGTTTGGACATCATATTCTTTAGATCAAGCCTATATCATTATAAGCTTCACAAAGACAGACAACTCCCACTATCAAAATTATAAATATAAATCGTCTGTAATTGGAATTTATATCACTCCTCAAAAGAAAATTTTCTTATGCAAATTCAATATTCATATTTTTACATTACACATTATCTTCTATCTATCGACATGGAAATTAATATTATAGCCAGTTCAATTAGCAAACAGATGAATATCCTCAAACAAATCTTCATGTGAGAACAAGATATTGTCTGATTCTTGGGTCATATATTGCACTGCATTTTAACTGTTCTTAGATGGTTACCCCTTCTCAGATGAAAACATATGAATTACATGTATATCTGCATGTATACATTTTATTCATAAAAAATGTATTTCTTAGAATGAATGTTGCGGTTGCCTTTAAAAAAAGTATTCCAAACTTATTTTTAAAAGATTTCTTAACTAAAAGAAACATATTAAAACAAATTATGGCTTATAATTTGGACTTTTTTTAAATGACATTTTTAAATCGATATCCAAGAATAGAGCTATTGTAACATCTTAAAATTGTGTAAGGGGAAATAACTCTTACAGAAAACAGAGATTCAAAAACAGACCAAGCTGCTAATTTTGTTAATCATTTCCCCCAATTAATCATAGAATTCTAATGTTCATATTTCTTTTAATTCAAGTACTTTTAATATGGTTTCATGCTTGCATGTTGTTTTTTTTTTAAATTTAAAATCTGCTCAGTAACAATTTGGGATCTTAACCTTATACTTCTGAAGAAAACCCCCAGAAAGTGACTGTCAATTGTTATTCAAAATTTGAAAATTCCATCACGACAAATCTGTCCCTAAACATATTTTACGAAAAATAAATGCTCATATAATACAACAGGTCAAAGAAAGAAACACATTTTAACAACGTTCTCCTTTCAAATTTTAAATCAGATCAAATTTGAAGAAAAACATCTCATTTTGAAGATTATTATCACAAAATCTTTCACAAAAATGACTGGATACATATTCAAAACAATTATCAATACACTGCATATTAAATAAGTCAGTTTCAACATACTATAGGTTCACTACACATCTGTCAACATACTATACAACTTTTCTAATTTGTCATTCTTTATGACAATAGCAATAGACTTCAAGTACCTTTGTGACAATATACAAAATTTGGTTGGCTGCCAAAAAGGGCTCTCTCACAACATGTAATATTTCTACAAGAAATGACTAATCATTACCAAGAACTGTCAGATATATAAAAAAAAAAAATAGTTAAGAACAGAAAAAGTCTTTCAAGGGGATCAAATTAATTATTTAAATAAGTACTTTTTTCTGAACAAATAGGACAATTGTTTGAGTCCGTGGTGCTGTTTTAAATCACAACATTTTCTTCACATGCTAAAAAAACACCTTTTCAGTCACTTAAACAAAGTCCAAAGTCATTATGTTCCAGAATCAAAAACAACTCAACAACCTTAAAAATGGTTTCAAGCATCAAACTATGACCTTATCAAAAATTTCAAATACATTTCTTTTTTCAACGGTCTGCATTTATTACTTTTCTGAATAATTTCTTCGGAGGAAGATGCTGGCAAGTCATTAATGGCCGGACATTTAAAGTGTATGTTATATCTGCGAATTCATAATTATAAAAAGTACCATTATTAGGCTATGTTCAGTTAATATTTACTAATACAACAGTAATTGATATCAAAAGATGCTCACTAAAGTTTTCAAATTTTGTTTAATATAAGATTTATTTTCATAATCCTTATTTCTTGCATCATCTGATCAATTTTATGTCAACGGAGCATAGTTTTATAAAAAAACGGAAAAAATAAATGTACTCAAAATCATTCATTCAAGAGAGTTTACTATAGACCAGCATTTTCCCTTATTCTCTGAAACTCCTACCTTGGAATAAAAAATAAATGAAATACTTATCTTTGAATATAATTGAAATTTTGTAAGCTGACAGACACAAAATTGTTAATTTAGTACAACAGTATTAAATTTCAAAGCTCCACCTGCATGAAATCATACCTACTTTTAGAAAAAGCTTTATGAAGTGAATAAATGTGAGCACAGAATTCATTTTTTGACCTGGGAAAATATCTTAATTTGGTCAACCCTGCAATTTTATAATGAACTATTCCAATCTTGGAATTGGAAGAGTTCAAATGTGTCTTCAGGGGTAAATGAGTTAATATGAAAATACAATGGGCAATCAGAACTGACCATGGTCTACTTGTTTATAGACAATTCAATGACTTTAATGAATAAGATTTCCAGGTTGGCCTTATTGTAACATCATTATTGATAAAATGTTGTGTTTATTGAAAAGTTAATTTTGGTGAAATACCAATGACTTGTTAAATCAGGAATGTCATACAGATTCACTCTCAATTTTGTATAAAATATTTTAACAAAAACCAAAATTTCAATAAACTGATTATTTCATGATTTCAAAATCATCTGAAACTAAATATATATCAGTTCCTACTATGATTAGTTAGTTTTTTAAAAGAATTCTCATTCATTAAAAAGAAAACACTAAAGTAAATGAGTACCCCGTTAATATGTATTTAATAAGGTTTTATTAACACTGTATTAATTATAAAACAGGCGTTCACTCTCTCACTCATTTGTGACAATATAAATAAAAATTATCTGTAAATATATTATTGAATGTAAATAAATAAATAAAAGGTAAAATTATACTATCATATATAATTTTCAAATCACAGGACTTACATATTGTACATGTATATATATCAGGTCAACAATGATTTTCGTCTGTAAGAAAATACAATTAATTGGGATTTCTAGGTAGACCGGGATATTTTTATTAACAAAAACAACAAATAAATCAACACACCATCATTATTGGTTCATTAAATATACTTGGGGTTATAACAAAAAATATGGATCTATATATATATATTGTACATTGTATGTATGAAAAACAAATTATATTATGGTGTAAAAAATCTGTTCATCACATCATAAAATTTATTTAACATATATCTAGAAAAGTATATCATTAAGGAATTAATCCTGAACAACAATTTCCACAGCTGAACCGATAACTAGTCAAATACATGTATTTATTTAACAACATGTATTTTCAAACATAAATTTCTCATAAGTATGCAGTAATGCAGATCATTTGGTTAAAGAAATTCAGAATGAAAAATGGAATATATATTTTTTCTCTTGAGAAGTGATAGAGGGACACACAAACAACTCTAGCAAGATGAGAAGGGGTAGAGGGACACTCAAACAACTCTAGTAAGGTGAGAAGGGGTAGAGGGACACACAAACAACTCTAGCAAGGTGAGAAGGGGTAGAGGGACACACAAACAACTCTAGCAAGGTGAGAAGGGGTAGAGGGACACACAAACAACTCTAGTAAGATGAAAAGGGGTAGAGGGACACACAAACAACTCTAGTAAGATGAGAAGGGGTAGAGGGACACACAAACAACTCTAGTAAGATGAAAAGGGGTAGAGGGACACACAAACAACTCTAGTAAGATGAGAAGAGGTAGAGGGACACACAAACAACTCTAGCAAGATGAGAAGGGGTAGAGTGACACACAAACAACTCTAGCAAGATGAGAAGGGGAAGAGGGACACACAAACAACTCTAGCAAGATGAGAATGGGTAGAGGGACACACAAACAACTCTAGTAAGATGAAAAGGGGTAGAGGGACACACAAACAACTCTAGTAAGGTGAGAAGGGGTAGAGGGACACACAAACAACTCTAGCAAGATGAGAAGGGGGAGAGGGACACACAAACAACTCTAGTAAGATGAGAAGAGGTAGAGGGACACACAAACACCTCTAGCAAGATGAGAAGGGGTAGAGGGACACACAGACAACTCTAGTAAGATGAGAAGGGGTAGAGGGACACACAAACAAATCTAGTAAGATGAGAAGGGGTAGAGGGACACACACACAACTCTAGTAAGATGAGAAGGGGTAGAGGGACACACAAACAACTCTAGTAAGATGAGAAGGGGTAGAGGGACACACACACAACTCTAGTAAGATGAGAAGGGGTAGAGGGATACACAAACAACTCTAGCAAGATGAGAAGGGGTAGAGGGACACACATTTAGACAAAATATAAAATTCATCAGGCCTCAATTCTGAAAGCACTATAATTAGGATTTAAATTTGAGACTAGCTATAGTCCTATACCAATATTCCATATATCTTTAGCATGAAACAGAGCAATTAAATTCACTTTCAAAGAACAAAACAAATATTAATATTTCAAGAACGTATTGCTTACTTTAATCTTATGACAAACATAGAATCAAATAAAATGTAGTGTTAATTTATATATTAAAACATTCTATTACTGACTTAATTGTTTAAAGCAAGACTTTTGTTCAATATACTTGGTACATTTAATAACATTAATGTTAACACTGAACTATCCTGCGAGTAAAAAGTTCAGAATATTTTGACTTTTTGTAATATATCATTCTTTCTGCCATTTTTAGAAATTATAATAATGATATCAGGAACATTTAAGAATCCTTCACTTAAGTCAAATAAAAACTATTTTCTTGGATAAAACATGTATATCACAGCACGCTGTGTCTTGCGTTAAGCCCTGGGACTTGTACCAAAAAGTGGTGATGTCATTAATATGGATGAATTTGATGCACAAGAAGTGATGACATCATTAGGGTGTATACACATTAAAGTTAGTGCATCATTCAATAGCTGTCTAAGACAGTTTGCTTTAGTTTCTTCGTTAATTGGATTCTTTGTTTTGTATATACATTATTCTAAATTTTAATCTGATGCTGTGATTTTGTTTGAGCTGTATAAATGAGTGTGCATGTTTCGTACATTTGTATCAAGTGGCATTGCGATAGCCTTTGGTATTATATAATACCAAATATGGTATTCCATGGTAATGTGTGGTATCATATATGGTACTGAATAGTTTTATGTGGTCCCATATATTGCATTTTTTGGTAATAGGTGATACCACATATGGTATTAAGTGGTACTATATATGGGGCATTTGTATGGTAGGTATTATAACTGGTGCGTTGTTCCATAATATACAAACAGCTATCCTCCGACATCTAAAATATGATGTAACAGTGTATCAAAATGTTTACTAAATATTTTGCTGGAAACCATCACAAAGTTCAAGTCTGCATTATCTCCCTTGTATACCACATTGCCAACCATTCCGTCGATACAAATTGGATTCTGAATAGTTATCTGTTTTACAATTTTTCCAGGTACATTTTGTAGTTGCATGAAGAATTATAGATGGCGTAAAATTATCTACTAAAAATCTAGACAATAAAAATGACAAAAAATGTAAATGTACTTATTTTAGTCCACTCAGATTTGGAACATTTTCAAATTAACACAGATCAGCACATTGATGTATTCATGCATTCACAATATATATTCAATAGAAAATAGTACGCAGAAACAGCAAATAGTGCAGTTATAATTTAGCACAATATTTTAAGCCATCATAACTAAAATAAGATTACTGCTAAAATATGTACAGTATTCTTGTCAATTCAATACAGCTGGTGTCCAATACTGAACTTCTACAAAAGTTATAGAGTTATAAATTCAACAGTGTGACATTTTAGTTCTTTAATGAGAAGTTGTTTCTATACAATGATAATATAATGATGAGGAGGAATACCCTTACAGTTTACAGGCTAAAACAAGGCTTCTATCACTTGTCTTGTTACAGGAGATGACCATGTGTGTGGTTTTCCGGGCATTCATCGTGGCCTTCTATCAAGAATATGAATTGTTTGATAAAATATACACCAAATTGTATCATTCTCACACAATGAATTTTTATTTTAAATAAAACTGCAATGAACAATTTCAAAAACTCCAAAGCATCATGGAAAACTGTCTTCCAGAATAAAAACAAAACAGAGTGACTTTGATATAAGATTGGTTGCAGATATCTCAAGCTAACAGAATCACTCACCGTAAGGCTATACATATGAATCATTTAACTAACATTAAAATGGAAATGGTAAATCTTGGACTGAGTCACCATCATGGCATGATGTTCATCCCAAACACCACAAGATGACAACAAAAGGAAGAGTTATAAAATGGAGCAAATTTTAGGAAGACAGATGAGTTTTCAGAATTGTCCATTAATGTTCTTCATTGTGTAGAAGGAGATAAAATCCTAGTGAAAAGATTCTCAGAACATTTGAAAGGATCCTGATAAAAGGATGTAATTCTTTTTTACAAAATATGGTGCCACCTTCATGCATGTTGTAATATTTAAACTCATTTTTTTGGAGGAGCAAATCAATACAGAAACAACATCTCTAGGAGGCTCTCACATAAGCCTTTCTAAAAAGTTGGTCTGGGTCCATTTAATGAGCTATGACCCCAGCACGTTAAATAAAATGTATCCAGGTCACATTCTTGTCTTTAATCAGACTTGATAACACCTGTTACACAATTTTAAACCTCCGTCTCATTGTTCAGCCTCACTATGGCATTATAGTGAACTATGTCACATTCAGATTGTAGAAAATGTTATCATCTTGAAGATTTGGATGAGAATTTGGCTGAAAACTTCTTGAGCTTGGATGTTGTTTTTGGTGTAGCCTGCTGAGCTAGGTGAACCTGACTAAGGTCTGGAAAGATTGACGATCCTCCGCTGGAAGAACCTGAAAATGTGAATGAGACAACATGAGGAACTCCAAAAGTGCAAGGAAGACAACATGAAAATCTGAAAGTGAAAGGAATACAGCATAAAGAGCTTGAAAGTACAAGGCATTATACAAGAAGAATTTGATCATTCCTTTACTTTAAAGTGGCATATTTAAGGGTTCCTCCTTTAGCTGGTATACAGTAACCCATCATATAACATAATGCCCCTTGTTTGATTTTCCACCTCACATATCCCCAACATATTTCAAGATCCCTTTTTCTTAAGAATTCCTTTGTACTTTTTCTCAATTTCTTGCCAAACCCCTTTATAATGTCAAAACCTCTCTGAACATACAAGGTTTTAATGTATTTAACTTTAGTTTTTATAACTTGTATCCTGTAAACTGCTTTGGATGGTCTCATCAAAGTTTAAATATCTGTACAATTACATGTGAGGCTAAGGCAGACAACTGTACTCCCTATATATAAAGTAGTAATTAGCTTATAGTTTGTACCTGAAGTGGCAGAACAGAAGAGGTCCTTCTCTGGTGGAACAGAAGATGACTTCGACAGACGTTTTGTACTCTTCTGTTTAGAGATATTTCCTTTTTCTGACTTGAGTTTTGCTGACTTGCCTTTCTTCTTATCCTGCAGGTTAAAGAAGTTAACTATTTTTAAAAATGTTTCATTTTTTTGAATTCCAATTTTGCAGTCAGATTGCTTGAAATTTAAAAAAAATGAACAAAACATTAACAGTTTGTGTAACCTCTGTATGAATTGGGGTTTACCTATAAAAAGAATTTATTAAAATGTAGTTTTGATGTTAAAAAGATTTTTATCACATATTTTCATATTTTTTCGGGTACAAAATTTTAAACATTTGTACATATATTTTGTTAACCATTTAACCAAGTTGTATTTTTTTTATCAAAAACTTTGAGTGCTCATTCATTGTTCTAGTTTAAGGAAGGGAAGAAGTCCTTATCTAGGAAAATATGCTTAAAAAGTAAAAATTGCTTAATTGGGTTGATAAAAGCAACATAAAATATGCTTAATTATTAACTATTATTATTTTTTCATATTATTCCTGACAAGCGATTGGCTAGAAGTGCATCATGTGTCCACCGCTAAAATCAAATATTGACTTGGAGCGCATTAATTTTGTAAAAGGGCTGGGTGTTTCTAAAAATAGCATTAATTATGACGTGTCTCCAAACAAACGCACCGTTCCGCTTCCGTAGCTTTTTGTTGTGTAATTTTTTCAGATTGTTTACATTATTGTTTTTTAAAAATAATAAAACAATTGTAATCTTTAACTTTTTCAAAAAATGAAAACAAATTTACAGAATGAAATTTGTACCTGATTTTCACTGGATTCATATTCTGCCTGGTCCATGATTACAAATTTTCCATTAGTGATCCATTCTGATTGGGCATGATAAACATTTTCATCTGGGGCGAGAATTCGGCGCTCCAAATGTTCCCCACTGTGGCGCCGTGTGTGGACCCCGAGTGACTCAGTACCAGTCATCTCCAGTTCCTCAACCAGAAGCAGTTTACGCAGATTGTCGGTGTCAGTTCGATGTGCCTTCATCATGGCCTAGTATTGGTGGATACAATGCAAGATTTGTCAGGGGAGACAATTCAGCATATATTGTGATCAAGGTAGAAAATTCAGGAATACATGAAATGAAATATTTTGTTGTTTAAATATATCAGAGTTGACAAATCAGGATGCTCATTTCCCAAAAAAATGACACTTAATTCCATCAAGATCAAAAGAGTGTGTTAAAACACTGTGTCTGGACTGATTTAGCATCACTGATTTTCACCAGTTTTATTCTGTGTAGTCCATGAGGATGTACAAAGTTATGATGTCTGCATGCATTTTGGCCTTTTTTCATATTAATCAATTTTTGATATTGTAATTAGCTCATTCACCCCCGAAATTTCATAATGAACTATTCCAGTCTGAGATTTGGAAGAGTTCAAATGTGTCTTCATTCAGAGGTGAATGAGTTAAGCCACCTCATAGTCCAGCTTTTTGCTGATAACGAAGGTGACTGGATTATTACTTGTATAAAATCACCTGTGTGACGATGTCCTGGGCGGAGCTTGAAGTGGGAGCTTTGAAGATGGTATAGGGCTGGTCTGGTGCCACATTGTAAACACACACAAGGAACACCTGTTCAACACTGTCCCAGTCCGCAGTGTCTGCAGACTCCTCAACCTTTCGCTGCAAATGACCAACATCGACATTTCATTAATTGTTTTGTCATGCAGTAAATCAGTTAAACTTCATGAATGATGGATAATATCTCAACAACCAATCAATGTAAATAGACAAGAGGCATATTGGGCCTGTAGAACACATCTGGTCACAAACGTAGCATAAATAAGAATTTAAACAGTTTTCTTGCTTGTAAGAGTACTTCAGTATGCCAGATATCAGAAACAAAATTTTGATTGCTCTTCATGTCATTTACTTCAGGCCAAATTAAAATTTATAATTCTGTTTGTCTGTTGGTTCATAAAGATCAGTCTAAAAAATAAGTGTGATACCAGTTAAGATTGACAGATGACAAGTGTTTTGCAGCAAGATGAGCTTAAAGTAGTTGACAACCAAAAGAGAATTGAAAACAATACATATTTGCAGTAAGACACATACTCTGTGTTCTATAGATAACATGGTAGTCATCCATGCACGACTGCTTGGGTCATCACTGAGCTTACGGAGCAGGAATTTGCCGGCGCCCTTCCATTGGTTCTGGGCTATGAGGACTTTCTCCATCATGTCCAGTATCCTCTGTGACATGGAGCGTTCCCAGCCACTCTGTACCTCTTCCACCAGAACATAGTCTGTTACCTTCTCCTCTGCACGGCCAGCCTTCATCAGTGCCTGTAAGACAAAAGATCCCAAACGTGTACATTTTCAATCATATTCATGATAGATCTTAAGAATTTTTACTTCAGTATTCAAGTCCATAAGTTGTAATTTAGCTTTAATGATCGGCGATTTCTAACTACTATTTTTTCATTTAAGAGGTCTAATTGTTAACTGTATGTTTAAGACCAAGTTGTCTCCCCTACCTGAGCTATCGTATCATAGACTGTTGTGTCCTGAGTGACCTTAAGTATGACATATTTGTCAGGAGCGTTGACTCCAAATACACTGATGAAGAACATTCGCCGCTTCACTCTTGCTCCTGTGGGACTCAGCTGAAATCAGAACATATATACAAATCATAAACTCTCAAGTCAGAACATATATATACAAATCATAAACTCTCAAATCAGAAGATACGTAAGGTAAACTTGAGTGTGTTAACAGATCATTGTTAAAAATTACCATGGCAGTTATTTTGGTATAAAATGTCTTAAAAATCACTAATCACATTTTGTAACTTGTCATATCCTTTTATTCAAATATAACAATATCCTCAGACAGATGACTTGGTAGCCTGACATTTCATTACACCCCCTCCTCCCTAATGTATATTAGCGAAGCCAAAGGCTATGATTAAGTTCCTTGGGTCCCACAATTATAATTACAGAGACCATTTAAGACATATGCTGGCATATTTTGAATCCAATATAAACAAAAATCATAACATTTTAATTTACATTGTATTTCTGCAGTTCTTTATACAACTTACTTCTTTCGCATCCTTGTCATTTATGTCCTTGTTTTTGGCGAACACAAGGCGACGTTTGGCCGAGGCACTGTCGTGACAGCCGTTGATATCATGGGTAGAGCAGGTTAAGAGTGACTCTTCCTCGTGTTTAGAGTTTATAAACACTGTGGCTAGCTCTAATGGCTGATTGGTTGGACTCCGCAGACGAACATGGCGGTATCCTTAATACAAAGATTTCACAATTACCACACTTGTACTTGATCAAAAATCAAGTTTTATTACCATTTAACCTTATTGACACAATGACAAAATCCATTTTTAATAGCATATCTTTCTATGATCAATCAATGGTGTTTTTCTTAGAAAACACATGATTTGTAAAGGCAATGCACTAACAATGCCTTAGATAAGTAATTCGTATCTGTTCCGAGTTATTAGTGTATACATTTTTGCCAGGAAAAGTAGCTCCATAGATGTAAGGGAGAACAAACCAGTTATAGATGATAATAAGTTGTTTATATGTGGACTTACATTAGGCTCAAAATAATATGAATAGAAGATTGCTAAACTTAGACCAAGACATTTCTCTCGGAATTCATGGTTCTTTCAAAACGTTTTGGGCATATCTATATCGCAGAGATGGTATTATATTTAATAGGAAACCATTCAAGATATTATTTATTACAGTTGTGTAACCATGTTTTTTTTTAATAATAATTAAAATGCATGCCAAAGCTACCATAATGAAATCAAATCAACTGCCAGCCAACAATCTCATAACAATCAAAACAGAAACTTATGTCTCTTATATATAGAGTCAAATTTTGACCAATTACATGTACCAACTTAATTTCACTGTTGACCAGCATGCATGTTCCCCTTTTCTTTTCCTTTTCTTTTTCTTTTCTGTGGAATCAGTCATATTCATTTAATATGTATAATTTCTAAATATATTCTTGTAAAAAATATGACAACTTATTTTCTGAAAGAGTTTAAAGTATTTCCTGCACCACATGTGATGCCGATTCTGACTGCGTTAAGTACCTGCACGAAGGCACTTGAGTGGAATAATGCGTTGGGAGACCATATGGCTTGTGTTAGCATCCACAACAACAAATCTTAAAAAGGCAAGGTCTGCAAACATCACCTGGACAACAAAAACAGAAAAAAAATATAGAAGAAGAAGGTCAAAAAGTGTCCTAAAATTGCCAAATTTGACTGGAATTTTATTGACTCCAACTAGAAATACTTCTATTTCGTATTTATAAATCGCATTGGGACATTACATTCAAATACTTTGAAGATCCTGACTTTATTTTATTTTATTTTTGTTCTCTGCTAACATGTATTTTAAAGGTGTGGTATTTTATTCAGTTCTGGAAAAAAATTCTATCAGGAGCTAAATGTTTTAACCCTGTACAGGCGTCCTTTTACATATACATGTACAGTGTATGTAGGATAGGAGGCTGCATAAAGTGTTTTTAAGAAGATATAATTAACTTCAGAAAAGTCTTCTTGCAGTTTTTTAATTGTTGTAAGTTTGATTTTTAAAATTAATTTATGTTGCCTCTATTTTGAAATTCCAATCTAGTTATTTTAAAACAACTTGTATTCCCCCAGATTTTCAATGTATTTTACAATATGCTAAACATGAATCATAAACGCATTGCATCCTGAAAAGAAAAGAAAAAACCCCAGGTATAAACTGTACTTTTTTGATCATCTATATATTACCTGTTCTTCAAGAATATAAAAAATTGTAATTTAAAAGATTTATTTTTGAATGCTAAAAAGAACCATGAATTAGTACTTACGTGAAATGTGAAGTAGTCGTTCCAGATGGGGTTGAGTGCATTGCGTGGTACGACCTTTGTTTTGTGTTTGGCAGAGTCGACAGGGATGCCGAGAAGTTCCACCTCTATGTAGGTACTGGCCGTGTGATTGTTACTCACATATTGGCCGGATATCACCTGCAGACAAGAAGAATATAGTATGTTATGTCACTTACATTAAGGCTAAATGCTATATTTTCATATATGTCTCCTTCCCAAGAAGTTCCCTAATTGATGACATATTTAAAAGGTATAGAATGAGACATAATGTGATGTATCTCTGGTCATTTTGAGTTAATAGATAATACATAATTGTTTTTAGAAATTATCTAATTGTTATCAGTAAAATAAGTGGAAAATTCATGACTACCTTTTTTAAATGAATAATATATTTAAAACTAGCATTTGTTAATATAACCAAGGGGGAAAACGCTATAAGTCAATCTGTCATAATCTTCTAAAGGTAATCGTAATTGCAACATAGATCACCTAATTTGGCCTGTTCGTTTATGAGGAACAACCGGTTCGTCCGTTTTTAAATGTAAGATTTTCAGGTATAAATCCTGACGGACCTGCAAATAACTATGCAGGCCTTGCAAAGGTTTGTCATTAGGCTCGCCTAAAAGCAGCATCAGATTACTAGATCAGACCTTATTAACAGTATTTTATAAACAAACAACTTTGGTCCAACCTGTTCAACTATTTGAATCGTACGTGATAAACGAAAATGGCCAATGTCTTTTTAAGAGCATTATAGAAGCTGCAGATCAATCTTCACAGTATAATTATATGTATCATTATAAAATTACATCTTACCAAATGAAGTGTGTTACAGTAAAGATTATCATAATAGATAATTATTAGTAAAGATAAATATATGAGATTTTGCTGAAATCCTCCTATATACATAGTGGTCTTACGTGGATGGTAAGAACTGTAGCGTGGAGACCATCAAAAGTCTTGTCCCATGGGTTGAAATGGTTGTACATCATGTGACTTTTATCCCACATAGTGGCTGGCTTCAGGACATAGCCACTCTGTCCATTCTGCTCGAACATGGCCGTATTCAGAATCATTGCTGTGTCTGAAAAGTATAGACAATATAGTACTAAATGTTATGCATCATATAAGTTTGCAGAAAGAAGCAATTCAGGAGTTTAGAAAAATGTCCTCCACAGAAATGAAAACATCCCACTTATACAAATGTTTTTCTTTTATCTTCTTTTTCTCAGGTTCTTTTCAACATATACCAATAATTGTAATAACAATTGGACATATTTTGCCAATTGTCCCCAGAGCGTTTTTTCAGCAAGTCAGGCAGAAGACCAATTTTATATTTATATAAACTTGCAGCATCTCAAGAGGAACTCATACAAAATGTTGCAGTTAAGAGTATATGAGATCAGCCCTTAACAACGAGTAAACAAAGAGAAATAACTCTCTTTATATGGGGCACTCTAGACCCAATATCAATATGAAACACTCTGCTATCCCATTAGGGACAAGTTCAGGCCCTCTCCAGGTCTCTTGTAACATTTTATTGTATAACATCTTATATAAATCGACTGATAGAGAACAAGCCATATCCTCACCCCCACACCAATACATGTATTAATATTCTTTTTAGTGATTCATGAAATAAAACTATTCAAATAATTTGATGACTACATATGTATGTGGAAGTACCTACCCTCTGTCTGATAGTTAAGGGCAACCATCTGTATTCCGAAGGCCCAGAAGATGACAGGATTGAAATTGGACGAATCAATCCTCATCCCAGCAGGGTAGGTACGCATCAGCTGTTTTTCTGTATGAGTAGCTTTTGTTAAAGAAAAGCAACCGTATTCAGTAAAACCTTACCGAAGATACTTAATGTAAACTTCATGTATTCTCATACTGACATTCCATTCTAACGGATTCAACTTGCTACTGGTAATGCAGTGATAATAAAAAATTATTGTGAAAAATTCGAAATTTTGCATGGAAATTTTAGATTGATTGATTTTTCTGTAAAATATGAAGATAATTTCTACACATATTCTACAGCTGGGTAGCATAATAGGTTTCATACATCATAACAAGTGTTTTCAAAGAAAGGATATTTGATGACCCCGATGGGGTTGCGTCGACAGTGTTGTTTAGCCTTGCTCTCGTTTAAGGAGGACACCAGATAACATGGAGGGGTGCTATCAGGACGACGCTGACGGGAATAACCGGAAAACATGTTCATATCGGTTTTATCTGGAAAATAAACACACAACTTGACACATGTGCTACTTAAGAAGAATATTATTACTGTTAGATTAATGTTCCTTCATAATGGGTTGAACTTTCGTTTTATTAATATTTGACAAAAATATATATAGGTATAATAAATAAACAGAAATCTCAGACTTAAACTTATCTGAGAGGATTATTCCTTTTCACTTGTGAGAGTTTTCTGGATATTTTTGTTAATAATTTTCTTCTTTTGTATATTGATTATTTGATGATAATTTCTCAAAATTCTCTACCTGAAGTGAGAGGTGGTGTTCCTGGATTACTCCCTAAAAGGACTTTCTTTCCAGCTGGTTTCCTCCTCATAGAGGTGTTTGGACTGACAGTTAAACCTTCAAAAGAAAACACAAGAATAATGTGCCAATCCATGGAAATCAGGAATCATCATAAAGTCTACCCTTTAAACAAACATTACAGAATTACCCAGGTGTGCAACCTAAGCTGAATCAGTGATGAGTTATATCCCTCTTTATTTATTTCACCAGAATGACCTCGGAAAATATCAAAAAGGTGAAAAATATTTCTTTGGAAGTGTATTCAATACAATGACAGCCTTCCTCGTTACGTTTGATCCTTTAATCCTATCACCCCTAGGTAACTTTAGTAGACTCTACCACACATTGATCTGGATGAGTCCATTATGGTCTACAGTGGTGAAAGGGTTAACGATCAAATTCGCTCAATACCTTATAGCTTCAGGTGATCATTGTACTTGTAGAAAATTTATAACAAGAGCAGAATTACATGTACATACCCCTGAATTTGATGGCTTGGAGATATATAACAAGATCAGATAACTCTTTGGCAATCTGGCTCGCCTTCTTCTGTTTGGTTTTTGGGGGCGTCTTCATTTCTTGGATATCATCCTCAAATTGCCAGTCAAGGTCAGGATGACTTTTTGGACGTGACTTCTCCCCAAATGATCCAGAAGATGGTCTAACAGAAAAGATTGTCCAAAACTGTATTTTTATTTCTTTGGTATTAGTTTATACAAGTTAATGTACTTTTGACTAATGTCAAGATTACCATATTGAAAATAATTATTACAACAAGCTGAACTTAAATCAATGCCCCCTAAATGTTAATTGTCTAAATAAAATTGAGGATTGTTAATGTTTTTGTTGTCAAGCTAATAATAACTTACAAAATAAAACCTGCTTTAGCTCAAACCTGCTCAGACAAAAGTTTGCGATATCTTGAATGTTGAAGGTCAAGATATTGATGATATTACATTGCTGACTGCTATTCAAATCAAAACCTTGAACTGCAAAAAAGTTTTGTAAAATGTCACAGGTCATGCACTTATCTCAAGATCAGTGTATATAGCTCTTAGGTAAACCAAGAATTCCACAGAAGTGGGTGTATTGCCTGCTTCAGCTATTGGCCATATGTTGATTTTCAGATTTGCTTGAAAACCAACTTGAACCAATAAATTAATATTATTGGCTTGTGTAGATCAAAGTATCATGAAAGTCACAATTTTCCTTCAAGAGTTATCACTTAGAAACAATGTGACTTTTCACAAAATCCAAGATTACCAAACTTATGGCATGGAAACCATCTTTGTGGTTGTTCATGCTGACACAAGATCAATCCCTATACATGCTTCGCAGGTGACACAATGATAGTCCTGTCCACAGTGGCAGAGGGTGGTCAACAAACAATGCCTTTTCTTGACCATGCAGACATGGGGACAGTACAATATAGTTTTTAAAGGAATAACACTGGAATAAAGATATTTGGCAATGGATGGGCATACTTTTTTTGTCATTATCAGAGAATTGGTCTACCTTGACTGGTAGTCCAGGAAGGAATCTGTTCTTGCTCGTGAAGAACCAGAGTTACGCCCCTTGTCGTCCTGCTCTCCTGTCTGACTGTCTTGGCTATCGACAGATGTCCTTAACTCCTTCACTGTAAAACAGCAATTGTAATTTTTCGATTAGTTGTCCATTTCAGGAATATAAATTATGACAAGGAGACATAACTATAGATGCATGATTTATCAATGTTAACAAATGAAAATTCAAACATTTTTATGTGTCAGTAAGATGTTCATTCAACAATAATTGTTTACTAATTTGGATGTTGTAGCACTTTTACATTTCCCAACACAAACATGTATACCTAAACAATGGGCCTGTGTCACTGTAAAACCTACTTCAATAGGTTTGTTCCAGGAACAAAAATACAGATAGAAAATACCTTTCTTTATTGATGTCCCATATCTGAAACTGTCATGGCAAAATTATGAAGCACTTTATATATTGACTGATAAATCAAGAGTCAAGTTTTTCATCTTTAATCACTTACCATCACCTATCTCATCCTCATCTTCATCATCGTCGTCATCATCATCAAAGTCATTGATGGAAATGGACGTGCTCTCTGTTGATACCATACTGTTCGTTCTGGGACAGGAGGGTACCTGTTGACATGACAACCAGTGACAACATAATTAAAATCATTTCCATGGTAACCACTCTAACTAGCAATTCATGATTGCTAATGAGGGCAAAACAATATTTGTTTGAATAACTGAAAATGAAGGAATGAAACAGATTTGTTGCGATACACGAATTTTGTTTTGTAAATGTATTATATATAAATTCAAATGATACCTTTCTAAGAGTGTAGCTTTCTTGGTAACGGATCTTCTTGTACTTTACGAGAATTTTGAATTTGAGCTGGCATGGTGATGGTAGCTGAGGATCTTCACAAAAGTCAGACTCAAACAAAAATGTTGTGACAAGCTTTTCTCCAAACACACTCTGTTAGAAATAAGACAAAGACTCTGAATAATCTTAAGCATTGTTTACTTTTTATGCATACAATTTTTGATCAGGTACAACTCTTAAATAAAAAAAAATAAAGCACATCCTCAAAATTGCAAAAATATACTGGAATCGTAGTTTTTGTTTATTTCCTTTCAAACCAAAACAATCAACATTTTTTTAATAATTTATTTTACAAATGAATGTTATGTGGTTATGAAACATGAATGTCTATTTTCTAGACTGTAAAGCTGACCACTGTCAATTACATAGGTAAAGTAACAAGGTTTTACCTGGTAGAATGCAATAATATACCCTTACACAATTTAGTTTATCGAGGTCTCACCTGGAAAATCAGAGCCATCTTCTGCTGCTGAATGATGGAACAATGGTTTTCTATGGACATGATCACTGGGTAGGGGGACATCACAAAGGCACTCTTGTTGATGGCCTCCACCACCGCCTGTCAGCAAATCAGGATTACAATGAGCATATCTATTTGAATCAACATCACCAAAACTAGCATCTTAATCAATACGGTTAGGATTATAAAGATTATAATTAACAGCATGTAAAGACAATCATGGTTGAAATAAATTTGTTTTTAATTATCGCAACAGCTTCCTTGAAATCATTTTGGAGTGAAAACAGACTTTACCATCATCAAAAGGGGACTCAATCATTCATATTAGATATGACTGTCTTATTTTTTTTTTTATTAAAGGCAGAGACTACATGATTTTTATGCCGTAAAATCAAGTTGGATAATCACAGGATGTCTTGATAAATGTTAGGTGTTGATAAACACAGGTTTCACTATAGACATAAAAACCATGGGACCAAATGTGCCACATAAACACAAATAATTACACTACGATCCACTTACTGCTTTGCCAGTTTGCAAGAAAATGTTACGCCGTAATTTAACCAAGTTATTCAAATAACCGAAAACATTATGTTTGGCTGCCATATTGTTAATTAGTGTTGATCATAATATCTACTATATGTATGTCTTAACCGACAATTTACTAATTAGTAGACAGTGCCTGTTAAAAGTTGGGCAATCCTCACCTTAAAAGGTATTTTGGTAGTGAGGGTGTGGCCATGGTATATGATTGGCATACCATCGTCTCCGTCCCAACAGTCTAACTCGACACAACGACAGCCCATCAACAACACCTGGAAACAAAACAACAAATGTATAATTTGATTTGTTTGTGTTTTACGTCCTATTAACAGCTATGGTAATATATTTGGTGTTGGAGGAAAGACAGAGTTCCCGGAGAAAAACCACCAAAATGCAGGCAGTACCTGGCGACTGCCCCACGTAGGCCTCGACCCTCCGACCCAGTGGTGGAAGGCTACTGGTAGCAGAATATCAGATGCTTTAACCACTTGGCCACAGTGGCCCCACACATTTATTAACAACAAACAATATGTGTAAACAATACTGTATAATAAACACTAGTAAACAACCTTATACAGGTTTTTGGAAAGATGTTATATTTGCGAATCATACTTTTGTTTTACTTTGTTTTTACAAACAGTACTTAACTGATAGTATATAATGCATAACAATGATGTTGTTCAAAGCAAAACAAAACTCTCAAACAACACAATGTCTTTCTATTTTCATTCGGTTTCAATTCATTTGATAATAAAATAACATTCACACCTTTATTGTGACTGTCAACTGTCGACTGAGGACTCCCCTGTCAGCTGGTGGCCTGTGAGGTAAGAGTTGTGGGAGGACACTATATATATATAGTGATGAGATATTGAGGTATACATACCTGGCTGTAGAGGTCGACTGAAGACTCCCCTGTCAGCTGATGGCCTGTGAGGTAAGTGTTGTGGGAGGACACTATATATAGTGATGAGATATTGAGGTATACATACCTGGCTGTAGAGATCGACTGAGGACCCCCCTGTCAGCTGGTGGCCTGTGAGGTAAGAGTTGTGGGAGGACACTATATATATATAGTGATGAGATATTGAGGTATACATCCCTGGCTGTAGAGGCCGACTGAGGACTCCCCTGTCAGCTGGTGGCCTGTGGGGTAAGTGTTGTGGGAGGATGCTATATAGTAATGAGATATTGAGGTATAAATACCTGGCTGTAGAGACCGACTGAGGACTCCCCTGTCAGCTGGTGGCCTGTGAGGTAAGTGTTGTGGGAGGATGCTATATAGTAATGGGACAGAGGGTGATCCATATCCTGTACAACAGATACACAAGTCAAATGCAGTAATGGGGATTTATTTTTTCATTTTTTTGATTATATTAAGAAAATTAATAATCCTTTAGTTCTATAGAAGTTAATTCAGTTATTTATTACAGTTTATTTTTTACAATTAAGATCCACAACACTGCAACTGGAAAACAATTAAAACCCATTCCTGACATTATAGCTGGTTCTGTACATTTGTAGTTGGGATGGACATGGGAGGTTCAACATTATTTTCATATAAGTAAGAAGGGAAGGGCAAATACTTATTGGAGGACTGGTGGTGTTTATCAGGGTATTTAAATAAGGTACAAAAAAATAATGGAAAATGGCTATAATTGGCAGTAGAGAAAATTTCAGCACTGTATACAATATATAGATTAATGATTCGGGTCATTGGGGGAAAAGACCATGGGTCATAATTGATAATAAAAAAATTGAAGAATTATTTAAAAAATTGTCTGATCTAACTCAAATATAATAATAAAAATTAAAAGAAATAATATCAAAACAATTCTTAAAAAAGAAGCAAATGGTTTATCTTGACAAATCAGGGAAAACTGGGCCACTTTTCAAATGTATATGGGTTTGTTTCACAGACATCACAATCATAAATGATGAATCCCCGATAGATAAACATTGTACATGATAAAGCTCTACCTCATCATTGTGCTTGGTTTTTTCGTGTAGGTAAGCGTAGTTGTCCTTATCCATCAGGTATCGAGCAAATCCTTCGAAAGACAGACAACATGTTTCTCGTAGAAATCTATCTGGTTCATGGCGCTGGAAAAATAACAAAACAATGATTCAAACAATATTGCAAGTTATAATTGACTTAATCTGTCAGAGTTGTCTCCCATGATTATTACAAAAGGCTTACATAAATTGATTAATCAATCAATACCTGTATGAGATCAATGATTTCCTCGTCATCCAGGTATTCCTCCTGGTGATCACCAAGGAATTCTCGGAACTCCTTCAAACCGATACATCTGTTCTGTGACGTGTCTACTCCGGCACAATTTGCCACAATACTTGCAACAGCAATGGCGTCACAGATCTTCCGTCGCTGTTGACTATCCTTTGTCAGATCTAAGGCGTTGTTCCTGGTTATTATGCCTGAAATGTTTAACACATTGTTCAAGCTGGCCTGAATCTGTCTGTAACCATACTGGTCAAACCCACCAAAGGTTAGGATTAAACAAACATTCCTGCTAAAATTATGTTATAGCAGCATTGTTGCACTGAGGCAAAAGAGGTGCAAAACAAGACTTTGGTTTTCTAGATAATTCCATCTCCTCTTTTATAAATGAATTGCTTCCCTGGTAATCTTGAACTATATAAAAGATTGGCTCAGAGATCATTCATACCATAGTCAAAATTATTTGGATATTTAATTATTTTTAAAGATATATTTTAAAAGAAAAAGTGGATGCTGCACCATGGAATAATTTTGTAAGTTATCAAGCTCAATATGTATTTCAGCCTAGGTAAGCCAAATTAAGCCAGTAGAGAGCTGCATGACAATCTATAGGAATTAAACAACACCCTGAAATTTGGATCCACAAATGTGAAACAGAAATAAGTTTGTGGTATTATGTGTATACTGAATAAACTTTCATCCAAAACTGTATATCTTCATGCAGTAACAGCAACTTTGACCATACATTAAGGAGGCATTATAAATATATTTCACAACATTCGACAAAATTATGAACTCAATGTCTATACGAAGCTAAAATAACCAGAAATGATAATACAAAACAAAACTAGTAACACTTACATGTGTCCGTACTGGCTGAATTACAATGTGTCCTGAGAGCTGTTGGAATGTCTTTTCCCGGCGTTGGTTTCATCGTCAGCGCCAATTGTTCATACAGGTCCTTCAGGTCTCGCCTACATCGCAGACTAAAGGACTTAAACAAGTCTACAAAGTCCAGGAATGTAAGTTGGGAGGAGTCAGTAATTGGAGTCATTTTATTGTCCGTGGAACGCATACCCAGCGACATACGACGACGCTTTGACCGATAACGGTTAGTAAAACTGAATGTCATGCTTCTAGGTCGGAAACCAAGCCTTGGACTTCCGTTTGGTTTTTGAGTTGTCTGATTCTGATGTAAGTTAGGGTCACTTGAACATGGCACAGAAGATTTGCTGAGATCAGATAGCTTGTTCTTACGAAGTGGACTCGGTGTCCTGTGTCCTTTTTGCGATGACATCTTCTGTAAGTCTGAAGAAGACATATTGGGCACTATAGATCCTGATCCGCGAGGACTTGACTCCTGTAGTTAAACAATTTTAAAATCCTTAGAAAATATATTGAACTTAGAATTGTTCTGTAAAGGTAATTTTTTAACAATGTTTAAACAGAAACACAAATTACAATAAATCATAACACCATAATTTGTGACATATGATAAACTTACATTTCTGTAGAAGGTAACTCCCACAGTGTGTCTGATTAAAAGAGAACAATTTTAAAAGAGAACGTTTTTTTCAATCTCCCTAATGCCATGAACTGGATTCTCTCTCACACCTGTGTGACGCAGCCTCACTTGCAATTGATTACTGTATGATGTTGTTTGTCTGCTGTGTAAAGCCTTACAATGTCACTGTACTGGTAACTAATCACCTGATTCTAGGGTTAGGACAGATTTCAACACTTCTTGTGCTTCAGTACCAAATATGTATCCTTTTGATACATATATGGACAAAGTAACAGGAAATGTGCAAAAGACATACGAAAATATCATAGTTTTGGATTTTGCTGTCATTTTCATCTTTTACAATAAACATGTTACTGAAATAACAAAGATTTATTTGCATATAATATGTATGGAAAGTCTGTGGTATGCAGTAAAGCATATCAGCATTTATCTCATGTTTGGTTCTGTGTTTTCATATTTCCTTAGCAACCACCTAGTTACATGTATTGACTCAGGTGATTAACATCTCCATTGACAAAAACATAACAAGTGGCCCAATGGACCTGCATCGTTCACCTGATTTTAATCTCACACTTTTAACCTTAAGAGTGGACTAGAATAAAGCTACAGGCAAAATATTAGTATCTGACTGACTCAAAGTCATTCAAAAAGAATGTATTAAAAGATTTAAACACGTTTGACCCCTGTGACCTTGAAAGCTTTAAAGTCAAGCAAGACGATTAAGTTGAACATTCTTTATAGCCCTAATTCATCTAAGAATTCAAATTGCAAAATACCACCACCCTATAAGATCATTTGTTTATTGAGAAGACGGCTTTTAAAGGTTCATACACGATTGACCAGATGTGACTTTGAAAATTTGTCAATTGATAATAATATGTTTACATATCTATGTCTACATCTGAGTACGCTACCATTCACATATCACCACCCGTTACATTTTGGTTATTCAGGAGAACTTGGTTAAAAGTCATTTAAGGCAATTGACCCATGTGACTTTGAATATGGGCACAGGTAATTCATTTGCACAAACAAAAATTGGTAGCCATCCACTCCAGCATGCTGCTGGCCAAATATTGCCACCCTGGATGTTTTGGTTATGCAGAAGAAGTTGTTCAAAGATTTCAATATATTTGACCTCTGTGACCTTGAATATTGGCGAAGATCCTTCATTCCAGCATGTTGCTGGCCAAATATCATCACCCTTAAGCCTCTTGGTTTTTCAGAAGTTGTTTAAAGTAAAACGTCGACAACAAATGGACAGATGTATTATGCTGAAATAACTGTTTCATTTCAGAAATAGTTTCCATATATTCACCATGAGTAGATTTTTATACTAGAGGTAATAATTTTATTCCAATATAAAATATTTCAATCCGCAATCTTTTCCTTGACAGAACTCATCTTGTGCTTATCTCCTAACCGCTTTTATAATATTCTTTTATCTACTCTTTAGCAATAACCAAACAATGGTTAGTCTTCATGTGTGTAAGTAAGGTGTTGTGGTCTGACTACCTTTGTTCTTGATAAAGTTTTTTCAGTCTCTATAGCAGCACATTTTTTTTTATTGCTATACCATTCAGGTTTTTGTGGTTACAGGCTTGCTTGTTGAGGTTTAGTATGTCCTTCCCGCGGAAACCAGGCCTATAGCTTCCAAGCCTACCTGTCCACCAGTTGAGCCTATGGGAAATTCCCTAAATGGCACACATTTACTATACAATGGTCTGATGTTTAACTCATTCAACCCTGAAAACACTTTTGAACTCTTCCAATTTAAAGGATGGACTACTTCATCATGAAACTTCAGGGGTGAAGGAGTTAACTACATGTATCCCCTTAGTTTGTTGTACATATATCTTTAAGTAAAATAAGTTTGTCACATTACTTTTCAATGGAAATTTCTTTATAATGAAAATATTAAGTAAACAATATTTTCAATAAAAAGTTAGTTGCAAAGATTTTTTTTTTTTTTTATTTCTTGACAATATATGCAGACAAATCTTTGGTTCGATATAATGTTATAAGTCGAACTAAGAAAAAAGTTCAAGCAATAAAAACTGTTTCAATGACAGAGGAATAGCCCCAGAGAAAAATAGTTTCTCAGAAGAATAGCCCAAGAGAAAAATAGCTTCTCAAAAGAATAGCCCCAAAGAAAAATAGTTTCTCAAAAGAATAGCCCCAATCGAGTTTCCCAGAAGAATAGCCTCAGAAAAAAATATACTGATATTATGAAAGTGTCAGTGGGATTTTTTGCAGCATTTAATACTGTTTCTTTGAAAAATATTCTCAATGAAAATACCTTGGAATTTGAAAATCCTGTGGAAGACTTCTTGTTAAAGATCTTTGAGGTGACGAAGCTGCCAGTACGCTTAAACGAGGTAGGAACATCTTGTGTGCCCATCAGCTGTCGTTCCACATGCCATCGACGTCCTCCAAACACCTGCAAAAGTTTTGTTTTTTTCAATTAATAAAGAAAAAAGACTCCATTTATTAAATCATACTTTTTATACGCCCGTCGAAGACGGGGACGTATTATGTTATCACGTGAGTGGGCGGGCGGTCGGGCTGGCGGGTGGGCATGCGAACGATGTCCGCTCGATATCTCGAGTAATTATTAAAGGATTAACTTCAAACTTCACAACAAGGTTAATTACTATGAAAGCTTAAACAAGTTCGATAACCGCCATTATCCGACCATAATTTGTGGAGTTATGCCCCTTTATGGACTTGCCGAAACAGTGTCCGCTCGATATCTCGAGTAATTATTAACGGATTAACTTCAAACTTCACAACAAGGTTAATTACCATGAAACCTCGGACAAGTTCGATAACCGCCATTATCCGACCGTAGTTATTGGAGTTATTCCCCTTGGTTTCATTAATGCGATGCATGCGTTCCATGATGTTGTATTGCACTCATTGATCTACCAGTTATGTTGAATGATTTCTCTTTTAATATCAATTACTCACAAATACTTCATATATTTCAATTATACAAACAACTGCTCATTCAATGTGTGATGGGCGTATTATATACCGCTCGCGGTAACCTTGTTAAATAATACAATGATTCATTTTGTCAAAACTAAATCCTTACAATTTTATTTTTCAATCAAAGTTTTCTTGCATCTTCATCCAGATTTCAGAACACAGCGTTTTACTTGTTCGACTTTCAGACCATTTTTTGTTCTACTTCCAGATTAATATGTGATAAAACCAAGAATTGTCTATTTCTATGGCATCATTTGTCCCATAAAACGCAACACAACACTTCATTAGGTCATGTAGGGCATCTCTGCCTGGTCTTCTACTAAAAATTCATTGGCTTGTTAGTCTCAAGTTCCAGAACAAATTGGAATTTGGTTGCTTGAGGCTTTAATTTGTTAACTTTTCTTACAATGTAATTTCAAAATTGTTTTTCAACATACACTATACAAATCCATCCAATTATAGCTAAATAATTAAAAATATTTGAAAAATGAGAAAATTTAGATTAAATATTGGCATTATTTTACAGATAAGCTAACCAGACCTGAAGTACATGTAGCTATAGTGTCTGATCACGAGGTACAAACATGACAACATCAGCAGAACCTGGAAGGGTGATATGATGCAGCTTTACAAGGTTCTGAGCAGGAACCATTGATAACTGGAATTTAGTCCTCAAGTATAAATGGTGAAGGCCCCAATAACCAGAATCTTTGAAATCATGGTAGAGGCCCCAACAACTAAAACTTTGAATTCAAGGTAGAGGCAACAACAACCAGAACTTTGAATTCACGGTAGAGGCAACAACAACTAGAACCTTGAATTTATGGTAAAGGCACCAACAACCGGGAACTTTGAATTCATGGTATAGGCACCAACAACTAGAACCTTGAATTCATGGTAGAGGCACCAACAACCAGAACTTTGAATTCAAGGTAGAGGCAACAACAACTAGAACTTTGAATTCATGGTAGAGGCATCAACAACCAGACCTTTGAATTCAATGTAGATCAGGCACAAAAAAACAGGAACTTTGAGTTCAAATTGAAAAAAAACATTGGAAAAAACAATAGAAAAAATGTTTTTTAATACACTGTAAAATTTTGATTTAATGTACAATGGTGTTCAATGAGATGACTGTCATTAGGTTGAGCACTCTTAGTAGTCAGAAAAAAACAATCCGTTATATATACATGTATATGTCCATTATGATGTTAATAATCCTTCTGTTAAATAAAATTCCTGATGTTTTTTTTTATAAAAAGTCATACGAGTTCACCAGATTTTTAAAATAAAGCCATAAATATTTCATTTTACCTATTTTCCACAAAACAAATATCCCATTTTAGTCTCTTAACAAATTACTCTGATTCAGTTAACTAACAAATCAGCTGTTCATATTATAATGTTTTAGCAAAACTTTCTCAAAATGTCGGAACAGTTTTTGTATTATAATATTTTTTATACATTATTCAGTTGAACACAACATTTTACCATTTGACATTTTATTTAAAATTTTAGAATAAATTTTATTTGAATTAAAATAAAAAAGAGTCCCATGGACCTCAACAGTCACCTGACTAAAGAACAATTTGAACAAACTTGAGGAACTGACCAGAATGACATTCAAAGTTTTGAAAAACAATCTTGCGCCCTCTAAAGAGAATATGTATCATCACCATAGGATTTCTCAAACTATTGCTGTTTAGTTTTTGAGCCCCATTCTTGATCCAAATTTTTTACAATCACACTTCCTGTCTATTCATGCAATCTCACATCACATTTCAATGGAATTGATTCACTTTTTTATATCTTATTTAGAAGAAGTTGTCTGATGTGAACTGATTTGAATCCTCTGACATTGAAAGTGGGTCATGTTTATTCCTTTAAAAAATGCCAGCCATAAGCTAAACGATGAATATTGTAACTCTAGTTCTTCAGAAGAAGTTGCTTTAACATTTCCACACAGTTTACTCATGTAACCTTGCATTGATAGATAGTATAGTTATTTCTTTAAACAAATTTACAGTCCATTCAGGCAGGTGAGCTACAAAAAGGGTGAAGATTAAAAGGGATGATTAGAGACAATAATTCCAGTTGTTATATATATCTACCTTGATAGCTTCAGCAGGACTAGGGCCCACACACTTCTCATTGTCGTAATACAGTTGTAGATATTGGTTCTTCAGAAGTTGTATCCTTTTGTCCGTTTGACGTCGCAGCTTGTGAGCCGCCTTAATAAGTCTCTGCAACCCTAGCAACCAGATCTTACACACGTTTTTCGGCGCAACAAACCATAATCGCTTGTTTTCTAAATGTCCCGAACCATACAGAATACAGATACTATTCACTTTTGCTTCTAAGTCATCCATACTGTGACGTTTTCCAACTAGATTCAAATCTAGGGATTCCTCGTTTCCATGGGAGATTTCTTTAACCAGTTTGAGATCTACAAAACCTTCCTCCAGCGTGTCATAAACATCTTCCCCACCAGTATAGCGAATACTTAATGCTTGAGTGGAGCTGGAATCTGATTCCCCCTTCAGCATGTAATCTGGGTAGGATGTATTTCCTGGCATAAGTGAGCTCCAGGATGGTTTTCGCCACGTTAGTGTCGTGTTGTCCAGTTCAAGTTTGAGGTAACACACGTATGTTCGACAACTGTCGTCTTCAATGTGAATAACAGTGCTGCCGTGGTGCATACATTGTAACCAGTGGTGACTAAGGCCAGCCAATTTGGATGTTATGACAACAACTTCATGATCATTCATGATTGGCTGAACTGGCTGGTAGGAATCAAGGTCAAGGTCATAATCACTCTCGCAGTCATTTTCCTCGTTCTCAACTTCTTCAACAACAAACTCTTCCTTGCTGTAATAGATAAAAAAAATACATAAAAGACAATGTGACAGAAAATGTGATGTTGGTTACATTTAACTACAAATATTACTAATAGTTTTAGTAAATATATTTATTGTTTCTTGACTGTGCTTCAACGTTTGGTTTGGTTTGTTTGTGTTAGGTCTTATTAACAGCTATATATATATATGGTCATTTAAGGACGTGCCAGGTTTTGGTGGTGGAGGAAAGCCAGAGTTCCAGGAGAAAAAACACTGATCTGTGGCCAGTACCTGGGGACTGTCTCACATAGGCCTTGCACCTGCAATCCAGTGGGGGAGAGCTAGTGGTAGCAGAATGTCACACGCCTTACACACTTGGCCACCACATACAGCCAAAGAGCATTTGAACTCATCAAATGTGTCATAGTAATAAGTACAAAAATGAAAATTGCTCACTGCCAGTTTAAGCGATGAAAACACAGTTACCTTATATTGACAGAACTTTTAATAAGAGTAAGTGCCCTGACCTTTTGACCTCCTCCTCCTCTCTCTGGGCGGTTTCCTGTCCCTTGCCGTGGTGGTGGAAGAGACTAATGTCGTTGAGGATCGTATGTGTCTGTTGTAGCTTGTCCATGTTGATAAGACCACCAACACCAATCCTCGTCATGAAACGATCTTCTCCATTAAAATCCGAAATAAACTGAAATATTCAAAATAAATATGTTAGTTCTTCTAACTTCAATTCTCATCTTTTCAATATCAGGTTATCACATAATAAAACGAATCATACACAAAGTTTACTTAGCATGTGTTCAACTGAGTATATACACGATTCCACATATAATGGATATTCAGACTGGAAAAATCAAAGGCTTCTATCATGAATACGTTACATCATTCCTTATGACCATGTGCTAAATGGGGGAAAATGATGTGGTAGTATTATAGAGTTATTACAGTACATTGCAGTATCAGTGTACAGTCTAGTGACTTACCAACACACCAGTGCATCTCTGTGTAGTCCAACATTCATATATAACAATTTAAGAATCAAAAAGAGACCTTGAGCTTAAATATTTAGTATTTCTATCCCCACTCCAACAGATCAGGATATGCTGATGTACGCCCTTAATGTTACAGATGTTTGGTTTCAGCTTTCAAACTGATCAGCCTGTGAAGTTAGCAGATGTTTTAGATAATTTGGAAAAATTTAGAAATTATGAAAAAAAAGATTCTTTAGTTTATTTTTAAAATAAGCTGTTCAAATAAATAGTTCATCAATTAATAGCCTTATTTTTTAAACAAAGGAACCTTGATAAAGAATATGTTTCAGACATGTGCTTGATCTCTCATAACAGGAAGTTGTTATAAAAGTTTTACACATTCATTTCCTTTCGTGTCTACTTATAAATGTCACAGACATACCAACAATATCAGATGTCAGTGATGACACCGCGCTCTGACTGCGACTTCGAATTGTAGGAACGTGATGAGGAATAACATCCCAATGTGATACAATACACACTCAATTGGTATATTTCTCCAGTTCTAATTAGAGACAGATTTGTAGAAATGATATGGATGGCAGTTCACTTGACATGTTGGAATCTGGAATTAAATTGTCAAGTTTTTGCCAAAGTATTTAATTATGACAATAATTGTCAACAATACATCTGATCAAATTACCATATTTGTTCTACTAAATGTCCCAGGAGGCTTAAGAAGATATTTCACAACATAACAACCTCTATTCATAACAAGAGGCCCAGAGGGCCTGTATCGCTCACCTGGATATCAAAGTAATCATGGCAAAATATTCTCCAAATAAGATCCAAATGAATGGGTCAGACCACATGCAAGGACAATCCTTGTATCCTATCTTTATTAGATTTTTCATGCCCAGCAATTTTATGTATGGTTATGGGGTGGGAACCTCAACTGTTACCAAGGTGTGACTCAGAAACTACATTGTAGGTCCCTAGGATTGTGGCCAGACCCCAGGGTCAATTCTAATCTCATGACTGCATTCGGCTCTTTATGCCCAGCATTTGTATATATAGTTTTGGGGTGGGGATCTCAACTGTTTCAAAGTTATGACCCTGGGACTATGTCTCCAGGGGGGGGGGCAAAACCCCTGGGCAATGCTGGAAACAATATTATGTGCATTCTTCTCTTCATTCTCAGCAATTGTATATATGGTTATAGGGTGGGGATCTCAACCATTTCCAAGCAATAAACTATTTTTGGCCCCACCCTTTAGCCAAGGGGTCAGCCCCACTACTTGTACAATTTGAATCCCTGGCTCCCAAGAATGCTTCCAACCAAATATGATTGATATCCAGTGCTTAGGTCTACAGAAGGAGTCATTTATAGCAATATAGCCAAATCACCCTTTTTGACCCCGCCCCTCAGCCCCCTGGGGGGGGGGGGGGGGGGGGGGGTCAGCCCCACCATTTGTATAATTTTGGATCCCTGCCTTTCATGAATGTTTCTGACCAAACTTGATTGATATCCAGTGTATAGTTCTAAGCCAAATTGCCCCCTTTTGGCCCCGCCCCTTAGCACCCTGGGGAGTAAGCCCCATCATTTGTACAATTTTGAATCCCCATTATCTCATTATCTAGGGATGTTTCCAGTCAAATATGGTTGATGTCCATCTTTTAGTTGTAGAGAAGAAGTCGCTTAAAGCAATATAGCCAAATAAACTTTTGGCCCCGCTCCTCAGCCCCCTGGGGAGTCAGACCCATCATTTGTATAATTTTGAATTCCCATTACCTAGGGATGCTTCAAGTAAATATGGTTGATATCCATCTTTAAGTTTCAGAGGAGAAGGAGAAGTCGCTTAAAGCAATATAGCCAAATTGACCCCTTTTGGCCCCGCCTCTCAGCCCCCTGGGGGTCAGCCCCACCATTTGTACAATTTTAAATCCCCACTACCTAGGGATGCTCCCACTAAAATATGATTGATATCCATTGCACAGTTCTACAGAAGAAGTTGTTTATAGCAATATAGCCAAATTGACCCCTTTGGCCCCACCCCTCAGCCCCCTGGGGGGTCAACCCCACCATCTGTACAATTTTGAATCTCTACCACCTAGGGATGCTTCAAGTCAAATTTAGTTAAATTCCAATCAGTGGTTAAGAAGGAGAGGTCGTTTAAAGAAATTGTTGACGGACGGACGGACGGACGGACGGACGGACGCCACGTTCGCCACGGTATGGCATAAGCTCACCTTGGTCCTTCGGACCAGGTGAGCTAATAATTGTGAGTATTTGATTTATTTGTAAAAGTGAAAGGACATGTTGGGGAGGTGGGATTATCATAAAGGTGGATTTTTTTCCGTTTACCCATGAGAAGTCAAGGGGCCTGAGGCAATTCAGGTGCTGATGGTGCTAAGACCTAGAGTGCCAGGTATTTTCCTTAATTTGACATAATAAATATACATTGAATAGGAATGGATTTTTCAAGATATATCTGTTTAAGCCTGTCTCCATGGGCTTCATAATGGGCATAGTCTCTCAACTTTTAAATACAGTATGTTATACACAAATTCTGTAGAAATACAAGTACCTCCAGTGACTGGTTTTCCTTTGACGGTAGAACAATGATACTTGGAACGTTGATGAAAAGTGCACGGAGCTCTCGGAGAAATCCTCCGAAAAACGGCACAACCTTACAAGTTGGAATGTCAAGGCCACGTCCCACTGCTTCCCGATACTCCTGGGTCAGTTCACGTGACAATAGGAAGTTGGAAAGCATATGAAGGGTAGATAAGTCTTCGTCACACAGAGATAGCCAGAATGGTTTAAGCTTCTCAGACCTAGAATGTGAAATAAGTTTTTGTATATATTTCTTTCTTCTAAAAATAATTAAACAATAAAACATAAGTTTTAATTTCGTCTCTATATGATAGAAATGTACTGAAGAAATTCCTGTCGAAGGATCAACATTGCTCTCAAGTATTCCTTCACATGTTTGGTGTGCATCGTGTTATCTCCCTTCCACTTACGGTAAGCATTCATTTTGAAGCATATACATATATATTTTTAATGAAATTTTTATATAAAAAAACATTCCAATAAAACAATAAACCTGATAGTTAAGAACTTATACATTTAATGTTACACAACCTACTTAAGCCCGGCGACAATCTCCATGGTTGTGTTGAAGTTTCCGAGACACCAGCAGTAAAAGGCTAGGCGGAGGATACATGACAGTATTGCCTTGCGGTCCTCGTGGGTTGGCTGGGTGATGATCAGCTGTGTTACCCAGGAGCTCACCTACAAATGTTTATATATCATATTATGCAGCTGCTCATTTATGAGAAATTTAATTCAGTTTTTCAAACTTTGAAATCAAATGCTTCACAAATGTGTTACAGTTTTAGGAAGATGGATAACAATGTCATACATATATTCATAAACTTGAATACTTGAACAAAAGTTGACTTTAAAGAAAAAGGATGGATTAAGAAAGTTTCTGTATTTTACCTCATTAAATCTCTGTATAAGATCCTCAACACTGGACAGCTTACGATAGACAGTTGATCCCCTGGACAGATCAGTGGTCACTTGTCGTATGTAGTGGGACGGAGGTATCTCGTTAAATAAGCTGTGCTCCATGTCTGTCAGCAATATTGCAACCTCTTCTGGGAAATGTAACAGCCTCTGAAGATTTTCCAGCTCTTCTGAGTACTTGCTACCTCCCTCCAAAGCTGGTCGTAATAATGGTGGTTTTCTATGGAAATCTGTGCAGAAATGATTTTGCTAATAAAAGTGTTTCTTGCCAGCATTCTTAGTTACGATATACTGTTGAGAGCTATATGGCAGGTTACTGGTTTATCACATATAGTTTGGACTGTACAGGAGCTTCACAATTTCCATGGTCGTGTACACTTTCCTATAGTCAACATATCTATGATTTTTTTTCACAGTTATTTTAGTGACTCCAATTCAAGTCTAAGAAATTAACCCAAAGCCAGATGTCTTCTAGTTAGAGTATGAGGTCATTCAGAGGTCAAAGACAGAACATTAACTGTAACAGTAAAACCTGTCTAAACTGAACACCACAGTAGTTCATGTGTGCTTTACACAGGTTAACAGATTATACTGTTTTCAGTCATATCACATTATGTAATCAGTTAGGTGCTAATTTAAAGTTTCATAAAAACATGTAAAACTTGACATCTGATACACATTTACAATGTTTGATTTTTTTCTAATTTGTCAGGAAACTCATAATTTTTAACCTCATTTTTGGCCTTTGAAATTGGTAAAATTCCCTAAATCTTGCATTTTGCTCAAAATCCTTTAACTCACATCAATGAATAGCTTAAACAATGGCATAGTTTATGTTATCATTTTATCATATATTTTTTTTTATACATTTTGGACTTAAGGTTATGCCATGTGGTTTCTTCCCCCAAAAAATTAAAAAGGTTGGCAAACATGGGATAGAAAATGGTAATTCTAGAGGTTCATACCAAACTCAAAACTATCTCGTCGCAGAGTTCCATTGTTCAGGAACCTTCCATCCATGTCCAAGGAATCCCATAATACTGCTGTTACAGACTTCAGGTTATCAAGTGTTGCCATGGAGAGGTGCCATGGTTTCGTACCACGGAACTCCAGGACAAGGCCGTCATGGTATTTCCCACTTCCTGTGTTCCACTCCTCCAGGTCTCGAATACTCTGTGTTTTAAGTAGTAGCTTTGTCTTGTTGTCCAACAAAACAATTTTGTCTGTAGCGATTCCTAGTAGGCGAACAGCCTGTTGGTTAAAACCAATGAAAACAAACCATATGTGAATATATTCTTCCATTTTCTTACTTTTTTTTTATTTAGATTTTATTCTTTTGTGAAGTAAAATATCAACTTTATTCCAGAATGACTCTGTTTAAGCCTTAGCAATATCAATTTTAGATTTAAATTATTTTACATGTTTCTTGTTACATCATACAATAAATATGAATCCTCATATTTACATTATTTGTAACAAATAAAAAAATTTCAAACTATCTTGATAATATCAAATTAAGTTCTCAAGAAAGATATTTCAATGTCCAGACTGCTTCAGCCTACCCAAATGTATAAATGTGCACCAGCATGCAGCAAAACACTGGTGTCTTTCCATGCAGGAAGGATGAAATTACCCTTTGTCACCTATAACTCTACAGAAACTGGTATATCAAATATAAACTTTATTTATTTTACAACAATTCTGAAACAAGTTGTATCAGCTTATATTAAACACTCTCATAGACCTGGATGTTAGCATGTGGGGGTCTTAATGTGGGGAAAACCTTTTTGGTTGGGCGGGTGACCCCATACCTTTTCGCATTCAATCGGGGAATTGTACCCGGCCACCTTGGTGAAAGGCAAGTGTTTTTTCTATTACATCAACTGATCACCCAAAGTGGTATAGCACTCCCTCTGCTCAACCAATAGGGACCACTAGTTTCAGTTTACACTCACTGTACAGGTGTACATTTCAATAGAGTAAGTTTAAGATAGAGTTGTCACATATACCATTCAGATGTGGTATAGTACCTTTTTCTGGGTGTTGCCCCGGAGGAGTTCTTTCACCTGGTAGAGCTTACACCCAAATGATGGCAGGTTCTTACAGATCTTGATGTACTGCTGTTTAAGCTTAATTTCACTGTCATAGTAGGGGGTGTGCCATAGCTGCTTCTGTTTTTCCTAAAATCAGATAATAATTAAATATTATTTTGTTAAACTATTTACATGATACTGTATGAAATTATTAATTTATTCGTTTTTTATTTTAAAAAAATAACAAGAATATAATCAACCAACAAAAAAGAGCATGACAGATTAAAACCGCTGAACTGATGGATGCTTCCCAAAAAAGGCTCGACTCTAAAACGATTTGTTGTGACAATAAAAGGAAATGTGATGGATAGGTGATGATTTTTGAATGAGCAAGAAGAGTTATGTATCTTTAGTACATTACATACTGCTTGACTGTCCTGATCATGTCTAAATCTAATGAGCAAGGTAAAACCTTACTTGAATGATACAGCGAATCTTCTTTGAAGAGTTAAAATCTGGCGGAAGAAATTTGGTGAGATCAACTTCACTGCCAATGTCAAGGTCTTTACTACTGACACAAGACAACTGACGGACCAAGCGTCCTTTACGACGAGAACTTGTGATACGTCCGGCACGATTGTTTCGTATCAGTTCCTTTCGTTTACGAAGATTCTCCTGTGGATCGGTTGACTTAGCCCAAAGTTTATGGTCAATAAGTTTACCCCCTTGGAGGAAGGTGAGGTCCGGGGGGTTGGTGTTGGCATGGTTTGGAACGTTATGTTCTGGCCAGGCTTCCTCAATATGTAACTGTATACTAGCTAGGGTGGCTGCCTCCTCCTTCGAACATGGAATGTCACCAGCGACAACCAGTTGCTGCAACTACAGAAACAAACGAAAAATCTTGAAAACTATTTAAAGAATCCAAAGAAATTTCTTATAACAATTATGTAAATAAACGAACTATATACAATCTTAATTTAAGTGAATCAATATCCAAAGATTTCAAGCTTTGCATTATGAATAGGTCTCGGTCTGTTTGACACCTGTCTATAATTATCACCTGTAAAGGTCTCAGTCTGTTTGACACCTGTCTATAATTATCACCTGTAAAGGTCTCGGTCTGTTTGACACCTGTCTATAATTATCACCTGTAAAGGTCTCAGTCTGTTTGACACCTGCCTATAATTATCACCTGTAAAGGTCTCGACCTGTTTGACACCTGTCTATAATAATCACCTGTAAAGGTCTGACCTGTCTATAATGATCACCTGTAAAGGTCTGTCTGTTTGACACCTGTCTATAATGATCACCTGTAAAGGTATCTGTCTGTTTGACACCTGTCAATAATGATCACATGTAAACTTATCAGTCTGTTTGATACCTGTCTATAATGATCACCTGTAAAGGTCTCAGTCTGTTTGATACATGTCTATAATGATAACCTGTAAAGGTATCAGTCTGTTTGATACATGTCTATAATGATCACCTGTAAAGGTATCAGACTGTTTGATACCTGTCTATAATGATCACCTGTAAAGGTCTGTCGGTTTGACACCTGTCTATAATGATCACCTGTAAAGGTCTGTCTGTTTGATCCCTGTCTATAATGATCTCCTGTAAAAGTCTCAGTCTGTTTGATACATGTCTATAATGATCACCTGTAATGGTCTGTCGGTTTGACACCTGTCTATAATGATCACCTGTAAAAGTATCAGTCTGTTAGATACCTGTCTATAATGATCACCTGTAAAGGTATCAGACTGTTTGACACCTGTCTATAATGATCACCTGTAAAAGTCTCAGTCTGTTTGATACCTGCCTATAATGATCATCTATAAAGGTATCAGTCTGTTTGACACCTGTCTATAATGATCACCTGTAAAGGTATGTCAGTTTGATACCTGTCTATAATGATCATCTATAAAGGTATCAGTCTGTTTGACACCTGTCTATAATGATAACCTGTAAAGGTATCTGTCTGTTTGACACCTGTCTATAATGATAACCTGTAAAGGTATCTGTCTGTTTGACACCTGTCTATAATAATAACCTGTAAAGGTATCTGTCTGTTTGACACCTGTCTATAATAATAACCTGTAAAGGTATCTGTCTGTTTGACACCTGTCTATAATGATAACCTGTAAAGGTATCTGTCTGTTTGACACCTGTCTATAATGATCATCTATAAAGGTATCAGACTGTTTGATACCTGTCTATAATGGTCACCTGTAAAAGTATCTGTCTGTTTAACACCTGTCTATAATGATCATCTGTAAATGTATAAGTCTGTTTGACACCTGTCTATAATGATCACCTGTAAAGATATCTGTCTGTTTGACACCTGTCTATAATGATCACCTGTGAAAGTATCAGTCTGTTTGACACCTGTCTATAATGATCATCTATAAAGGTATCAGACTGTTTGATACCTGTCTATAATGATCACTGTAAAGGTATCTGTCTGTTTGACACCTGTCTATAATGGTAACCTGTAAAGGTATCTGTCTGTTTGACACCTGTCTTTAATGATAACCTGTAAAGGTATCTGTCTGTTTGACACCTGTCTATAATGATAACCTGTAAAGGTATCTGTCTGTTTGACACCTGTCTATAATGGTAACCTGTAAAGGTATCTGTCTGTTTGACACCTGTCTATAATGGTAACCTGTAAAGGTATCTGTCTGTTTGACACCTGTCTTTAATGATAACCTGTAAAGGCATCTGTCTGTTTGACCCCTGTCTATAATGATCACCTGTAAAGATATCTGTCTGTTCGACACCTGTCTATAATGATCACCTGTAAAAGTATCAGTCTGTTTGACACCTGTCTATAATGATCATCTATAAAGGTATCGGACTGTTTGATACCTGTCTATAATGGTCACCTGGAAAAGTATCTGTCTGTTTAACACCTGTCTATAATGATCATCTGTAAATGTATAAGTCTGTTTGACACCTGTCTATAATGATCACCTGTGAAAGTATCAGTCTGTTTGACACCTGTCTATAATGATCATCTATAAAGGTATCAGACTCTTTGATACCTGTCTATAATGATCACCTGTAAAGGTATCTGTCTGTTTGACACCTGTCTTTAATGATAACCTGTAAAGGCATCTGTATGTTTGACACCTGTCTATAATGATCACCTGTAAAGGTCTGTCGGTTTGACACCTGTCCATAATGATCACCTGTAAAGGTCTGTCTGTTTGATACCTGTCTATAATGATCATCTGTACAGGTATCTGTCTGTTTGACCCCTGTCTTTAATGATAACCTGTAAAGGCATCTGTATGTTTGACACCTGTCTATAATGATCACCTGTAAAAGTATCAGTCTGTTTGACACCTGTCTATAATGATCATCTATAAAGGTATCGGACTGTTTGATACCTGTCTATAATGGTCACCTGTAAAAGTATCTGTCTGTTTAACACCTGTCTATAATGATCATCTGTAAATGTATAAGTCTGTTTGACACCTGTCTATAATGATCACCTGTGAAAGTATCAGTCTGTTTGACACCTGTCTATAATGATCACATGTAAAGGTATGTCTGTTTGATACCTGTCTATAATGATCATCTGTACAGGTATCTGTCTGTTTGACACCTGTCTTTAATGATAACCTGTAAAGGCATCTGTCTGTTTGACACCTGTCTATAATGATCACCTGTAAAAGTATCAGTCTGGTTGACACCTGTTTATAATGATCATCTATAAAGGTATCATACTGTTTGATACCTGTCTATAATGATCACCTGTAAAGGTATCTGTCTGTTTGACACCTGTCTATAATGATCACCTGTAAAGGTCTGTCTGTTTGATACCTGTCTATAATGATCATCTATAAAGATATCAGACTGTTTGATACCTGTCTATAATGATCATCTGTACATGTATCATTTGTTTAATACATTCAACTTTCATATAAGAATCAATTGACAAGTCTATACATTCAAGTGCACTCCATGTTCATTCTTATTTTCTGGTAAAAAACACAGACCAGATTTCAGTTCATTACAATTAAATTAGCACAATATTATATGGAAAGTTTTTGGAAAACTTTGAAAATAAAACATGAAAAAATCTGGTATTTCTGGTATATAACAAGACCTCTGGGCCCGTATTCATGAAACCATTCTCATGCTCAAGTATGGATTTTGTGCTCAAGCCTAATTTCTTGTTATGGTTATAAATTATTTCAAATATCTTATTTTGTCGATGATTTTGAAAAAAAATGAAAATGAAAAGACTTCAAGCCAAATACTGTTTTCAATGTTTACAATTGACTTTTTGATTGCTTTACTTGATTTAAGTGAGTTACAAGAAAGCTGGTTTGAGCACAGAATCCATGTTTGAGCATGAGAACGGTTTCATGAATATATACAAGCTCTGGTGTTATTCTTGTTAGCTGTTTATGCTGAAAACACACACACTAACATGCAAGGGTAAATTTTCATTAGAGACATCAATGTCTAAATCATTAAGTGGAAATTCAATCCATTTGAGGCCTAGGGTGTTAAACGGAGATAAAAAGCTCAAAGCTATCGATACCAAGTAAACTCAGTGTCATCAAATACCCATCTGATAGCTGATCAAATAATCATTTAAGCATCACTTCGACATGGAAATTCTATTAACCAAAATGACACATTTAACACTACAACAGTATTAAATAATGCCACGGATATAACAGAGGCACATGTAATACATTGTGAATGATCTTTAAAAGCTTAACCAGATTCACAGTTGCCGCAAACATGGGTAATTCTTATCTGATTTAGATTAACTTGGATCAGACAGGTACAAGTTTAATTCAGTTATATGAACACATGGGCATTGACCTCCAGACTTAAAGTATACTAAAGTCAATATCTATTGCAAATACTGATCTGGACATGGAAACACACAAACAAGAACTCTTTAAAACGAGTTTGAAAGATTGAATCCTTTGTATTCAATCATTACTAGGATCTCTAAACGTAATTAATATACCAGGCCTAGAGTTCTTGAAATATAAAAAAAAGAAAATTTAAGAAAATATTTTTCCATAAAACATTTTTCCATAAAACATTTTTGCAAAGGATTTCATTTCAAATTTGACATATTAATTCATAATTCTTTATTTTTAGCTAATCTGAATTTTCACTATTATCCTTAATCTTCAAAACTACATATTTTAATTTTAGTAAATAAATGAATTTTGAACAAACATTGAAATAATTCCTTTTTCTTTTAAATTGTAATCAGACATGGTAGTTATAAAAAAATCCCATAATTTGTGTCAATGAAAGTAAAGAAGTTATCAATGTTAGGTCTTGCTACAAGTTTTTAAAATATGCACTTTCCTTAGCACAATGATCGAGATACAAAAGTAGAATTTTTAATGGTGCTACTTTCTATATTCATTCACTGAAGCTGAAAACAGCTCCAATTATTGAGACTGCCCAAAGTATGATGAACCAACACTCCAAATTACTGCCTTTGAATTTCTACTTCTTTTCAATTTACAGATGATGAATGAAATTTTCTCCTGAATGACCCCTGTAATATGGTGCATTACTGGTAACACAAGCTTCAGGCCATCAAAAAAACTCCTCAGCAGTGAACTTCAAACAAATTGACCCCTGACCTCTTCAGTCGCCTAACTTCCTGTGACCTTGACCTCTAGATAGGTCATATCTTTTCCACTACAAGTGTAAATGACAAAGTGCATAAGAGTGCTTAGCTTGAGGTGACAAAACCGTTTTAAATATAGTGGTACCGCCCAACGTAACAAGTAGTTGTAGTGACGGCCTCTTAAGTAGTTATCAGTTTTATAAGAGTCTAGCATTCTATATATAAATGCAGTGGGTTACATAATTTTTTTCTTTTGTTT